AATGTCCACTTTGCACTTTTTGTTACCAGCTTACAATAACAGTGTTTCCAGCTAGATATCGAGTAACGGTGTATTTAAAAAAAAATTTATTTTAACGACACTACTGTTGTAACTGCAATGAACTGAAGTAAACCCCGTCGCCAATTTGTTATAACTGTAGCGGAATTAAATGAGGACGTTGTCGCCTTGTTCTGTCTGCGCCTGACTAATATGCCTATCTGCTTCTGCTACCTTCCGATTCAGCGAACCACGCAAATATCAAAAGACAAAACCTGGTCTCTGACTGTGTATTGTAGTACAACAACTACGACAAACTACGACGACGACAAAGAAACTTATTTAGGAAATGGTATTTATACATTTTTACAACCAATACAGACAGCTAACAGTATTTGAAATAATTGGTCGTAATAGTCAATAACAAAATGCGTGGGAAATGATGATATACCACTTATGCGAGATTAACAGTCGTTAAGATAATTGAACAACAACAAAGTGCCTGGGAAATGATAATATACCACTTATGCGAGATTAACAGTCGTTAAAATAATTGAACAATAACAAAGTGTGTGGGATCCTATCAACTACCAAGGTAGTATTTCTGCTCATTGTTACTAGACATTTTCAACAGTAATTCTGATGTACTTATAACAAGCTTAATATGATAAGATGTATTTTATAGAATGCTATAAAAGAAGCTATACAGACATGTATACGAAACTTTAAACAGTAAATGACAAACTGTGTTAATACTCCCAGTAAATTTAAGGCGGAACATTTAAAGAAACCTTTGAAAATGATTAGGAAAACATGAGGCTATGGAGTCCCGACTGAACTGCGTCGGTGGCACATTGGTTAGAACTCTCGCCGACCATGCACATGGTCCGACGTTCGATCCCCTGCCGACGCACACCTGATATCTATGGTCGGTCTGCAAAATTTGGTCTAACCGATGTCCATGCTGAAAATGCCATACTTGAACTGAAAATACGGTGTGGCATCAAGCTGTAACCAAAAATAAAAAATAAATAAAAATAACTGACTTTAATGTTTCAGGGACAACTGGAGATTCAGTACAAGCTAATTAAACTCTGAATAACTCTCCTTTGGAAAGCAGATTCTCATCATCAGGATTTTTGAAAAAAAAATTACACACATTTCTATTGTAGAAGACTTCTCCCAATGAAATTCGACTTCTGAGATAGCGAAACTCAATATATTCTTTGTGAGGCATTGTTAAGAATAGTCACTATGATCTCGAGATGAATTCATCCAAGAAAAAGCATATCCACAGAGTTCTGGTGTTATAAGCCAGGCCCTTAGCAGTCTGAAAGTTCATTTGGCCAAGGTGGTTATCTTTGCCGGTGATTGGGTCATGTATTATAAGAAGATGCCCAGGTTGACTCTAAGCGACAGTTAACCTCAGAATATCCTACACTTTCCCGTAGATATTCAAAAGTAAATAAAAAGTTAATTTACGCGGCAGCGACAGAATTCTGTTGAACATTTGACATTGTTATTCAGTGTTTAGATGGGTTGCGAATGAAAGCAGCTATAAGGTGAGGAAATCCCTCAAAAATATCCGTTTCGCCATATTAAATTAATTGTTGGAAAGTGGATATCAGAAAACATCTTCAAAAATTCTATTGGCAGTATCTGCTTACTTAAATATAAAAATGTATAAGTTCGGTGCACTTTCATTATTCACCTATTTGTTTACTTTGTTCCATTGGTTGACTGACGTAAAGCTAGTATATATATATATATATATATATATATATATGCAATCTGTTTACAGCTAGCAATATTCACTAGTTGCTTAATCCGCGATTTATAGATAGCAGAAATTTGAGAATTATCACGTGGAAGGGTTGATATTCCTATAAATGGTATTTCCAAGCTCTGGATTTAATTTTATATCCTTGATAAACTTAAGTTGTACTATCCAGCTAACACTGCTATCCACTGCGTCCACCTACACGGACAAATATTCCTGAAACTTTAATCACAATCAGCAAGAATGCCAAAATGGGATTTCTCTAGCAAATATCCACTTCAATAAGAGTACCTATTAAGTATAGAATTTCATTCTAATCAGGGATTTTTGTGTACCTACACTTTATATTACCATTTTTTGACTCTACAATCATTTGTCTTGGTAAAGAAATAAATCAGGTTTTAAATAAATAATCTTGTGTTTACAAATAAAAAGGTGTATAAATGCGATAAGATAAGGACTGAATGAATACCTGATCTCTTAATGATGGAAGAAACAATTATTGACTGGATAAAACCTACAATAGTCTATACTGTTTAAAGAAAGAAATAGTTTTTGGGGGCAAAGTTAAACTGTCGTAGCCAAAACCACAATGACCTTGAAAAGCCAGTCAGAATTCAGATGTAAAAAAGTAGCATAATCTTTGGAAAATACACTAAAATATATTGCAAGCATGATTTTTACACGATAGAATTGTGGCTTATTTCACAGATTTGTAGATAAATCATACCGTGTGTGATATATCCATTCATTCAGGTGACTGTAAGTCATGGTACTTTGAGATGCATTGATATTTCTGACACTATTCTTGAACCTACTCTTACTCTAACTATAATCCTAACCCTAAACCTTAATCTGAAAAGCCATAACCTTACCTAACAGTATAGATTTGTAGGCAAAGTACCTAGTACCCTCTTCAAGTTCAAAAAGGCAGAAATGATTTGATTTGGAATGACATTTCATAACATTCCCTATATCTAATCGTTTCTTGTAGGTCAACTTTTGAAAGACTTTGACTTTGGCTATGATACTTTAACTTCACCGTCTTTGGAATTAAGAACTTGAACTGATTTATCTTACAATCTTAAAATTTACTCGGACAAATTATCAAGTAACAAAAATATTAAGTGACCTAATTTATCTATATGATTGGAGGTTTCAGTGAATTATTATTATTATTATTGTATCCTTTAATTCCTAGAGGAACATAGGGCTTCAGCCGTGCGTCTCCATTGCGTTCGGTTCTCTGCTAGAGTCTTCACCTGGCTCCATGTCTGCCCACACGTTTTCATCTCCTCTTCACATGACCTCCTCCAATTCACCCTCACATTGACAACCAACTCGCCGCTTCCCTTTCGAGTTCCACTTGAGGGCTTGTCTAGTGATGTCACTTGATGGTTTGTTTTCTCAGAGTGTGGCCAATCCATCTCCATTTCTTCCTGCCTATTTGTTTCACAGTCGGTTCCTCCTGTGTTGGTTCACTCCCAGAGATCCTTCCTCGTTGCTGATCTTTTCTTTCCGGCCATCTGATCTTGGGTATTGAGCGAAGACAACTGTTAATGGAGGTCTGTAGTTTGTTTGAGGTGCTGTTTATGACGCGCAGTGCAAGTCTCTGATCCGTATAGTGAGTAGCACTGACTTCACATTGGAGTTGAAAATCCGGATCTTATTTTTGATGCTGAGTGTTGTTGACCTCCACACAGACTTGAGAGTAGTGAAAGCTTGTCTTGCTTTTCCGATCCTTGCTTTGATATCCTCGTCAGTTCCGTCCACCTGTAGTTGAAACGATGCTTCCCAGGTAGGTAAAAGAGGTTGTTTCTTTCAGGTTCCTTCCATTTATGCTGATTGTTGTCAGTTGTTGTTGTTGCTGTTGGTGGTGTTGCCCAGGAATTTTCATCACCTCTGTTTTCTCTATGTTCACCTGAAGTCCTATCTTTGATGCTTCTTCTGCTAACTTGTTGCTTTTCGCTTGCATATCTTCCAGTTTGTGGGAAATCAGACATATATCATCGGCGAAGTCCAGATCCTCCAATTTTTTTGTGTGTGTTCATTTTATACCTGTTTCCTCATTGCCCGCCGTCTGTCGCATTATCCAGTCTACTGCAATCAGGAAAATCATTGGCGATAGTAGGCAGCCTTGTCTTACTCCTGTCCTCACTTTAGTGAATCGCAATTAGTAATTAATTGTAAAGCTCACAGTAGGAAATATCACAGATATGTTTGGCAGCAGTATTGAGCTAATCTAAATGACTTGTCTACAACCCAAAAGAAACTTCTCCGGAGACTTAAAGTTGTAAACTGACAGATCAGTACAGTGTAAAGGATGCCGTCTTCCCAGTCTTTTGTGTTGCTAATGACTGAACTCTGTCAGTTAAGTGTGCAATGTGATCACAAATCTAGGTGACCTGTACATTTCCAATTGATGTTAGGTGGTTGGAGGTGACCAGCAAAAAACCCTGGATTTAGATTTCGTGCCTATTGACAGTCGTTAGCAAGGCGTATCGGCAACCTTGAAGGAGGTGATTTCCCCTTGGAGATTCGAACTCACATCACCTAGCACTATACTGAATACATCAGTGAGAATGCCTCTGACTGTAGAGGTGGAAGACATCAGCTCGAACCATATCCTTCATTTCCTTCGAGGTTGCAGATACGTATTACTCACAAGTTTCAATAAGTTCTATAAATAAGTCCATGGTTTCTCACCGACTTCCTCCATTTACCAAAATTAAAGTTGGATCACTCTTGTCTTATTGACAGAAACTTCTGACCTTGACTTATTCACACTCTATTTGACCGCTGTTGTAGCTACTGCAATGACAGGATTGTGACAATCAGCAAAGTGGATTTGACAACATCATAAATAACAACAGAAAGGTTGGAGTTTGTTGTAGACTGTCAACAAGCTACTTTTAAGTCTATAATGCAAAATATCAACACTCTATTCGACAGCTATTTAACCCAATGGGTGCGTACTGTCGATGAGTCCCACCCAAACTAGGCTGACGAGACAGCTGTCCAGTACTCCCTGGCTTTCAATGGTTCGCTAAGTGATATCAGTCAATGAATGGTGTAAGGTGAAATTAAATTAAAAAAACAATTGAAAGAATGATTCCAAAAATAAATTTTATTAAGATTTTAACAATGAATAGAGTACATGAAGACTTACTTACAAATATATATAGAAATAAATAATCCACATGAAATTCACTTTTATTTATGTATTGGAAATTGCATACATCAACTGTTCTACGATAATAATGATAATAAATGGTAATAATAATAATAAGTACTAAGTATAATGCTTACAGTAGTGATAATGTTACCTATAGAAAAGTACGTGTAAAACTAAAACTCTTTCATGGGAAACTCTACATTACCCGCTATAATCACTATACTCACACTCTGAGAGTTGTATGTACTCTGTTAAACAAACACAAGCGCTGATGTGCCGTAATCTGAGTAAGCAGACACACAAACACACACACGCACACGCATGTGCACTCACATGTACGCATAAGTAAGTAAACTCTTATACACAAATCGACAAGTGAAAAATACAATACTCAGAATTAAAAAATACAAAAGCAAAAACAAAAATATCTCGGCAAATTGAAGCTTGATAACACACAAAAAGAAGAGAAGATTGGAAAAAAATCAAGCAAACAGAAATTCATTTTTTGTTGATGTGTAACAGTGATAACTTATACTACTACTAATTTTTTTTCTAAAAAAAAACAACAACTTTTATCTGTCCCATTTCAAAATCGTATTTTTTTGTCAGTGTTTTTTGTCCACCTGGTTAGGTTGTATTTTCCAACGACTTTTTGATATTTTCTAGATATCGACTTTCTTCCTCGAGGTAACGAGCATCCTACAGTAGCAAATAAAGAAATGATAACAAGGATATTTAAATGTGGTATTAAAATAAGGATACTGGTAGCTGACAGACAAACTGACTGAGGTATTTATGATTCGGTGTTTCTATTAGCAGGTGTTTCTATTTGTTTGAAAACTGTACACACACAAGATGAGGATTGTAGATATTGATTTCACTGGAAGCTTTAGAATAAACAAACGCTCATCTCATGGCTGATATTTCGTAGATAACGCTGGTATATACATATATATGATTCCATCGCAATACTTTCCAGAACCATTTCGGATATTCCTGATTATTGACACAGTCCTCGAAGAAACTAATTTTCACGTTTTACTGCAACAAGCTTGACAGAGTACCGAAGAAGCTCATTGAGTTTCTTGACTGTCATGGGGTCCTTGCTACTTCTTAATTCATGAATAATCTCTATTGAGACATTAATTCGTAGATAACTTTACAGATTTGAAGTGAATTTGCTACGGGAAGATCTCTTAGCTAACATATGTGTTCTATGGAGTTATTATTTTAAGCTGAGATTTTGTGAATTCTCTCTGCGCATTTCTTCATCGAAATAGTTTCCGCTAAATGGAAAAACTTAAGTATAAGGATACCTTGATTGATTTTAGCTGAGTTATTTTGAATTTTCCATTGATTTACCTTACTGGACCGGGATACTCAGTACCTGTCGACATGTCAAACTTCTAGTATGGGCACTTTAATAATGTCTCGAAGTTTTTTTTTCAATCCTTTACGTTTCTAGTGGAACATAGGGTGGCTTCAAGCTAGAGGCTTGAAGTTTCGGTAGTAGTGGTGTTTATTTTTACGAGATGGGGTTGCTAGCCTCATGCCTAACCTTCCCTCTTTACCAGTCTTACTACTGGCTTAGCGAGGTAAAAGAAAAGTGCGTCGGCCGGGGAATGAACCCCGAACCACCTGCGTGGTTGGCGAGCACTCTACCGCTGTGCCACCGACGCACACATGTCTCGAAGTTAATCACTAGAAGATACTACTTGATAGATTGCTCTGAACTCGAGTCTCATTGGGAACATCATCGTCCAGATGACGAGTTCCAGCCAGGTTGAAACAGATATCCTGAATCGTCTTACTAACCTCTGACAATCAGATAACAGTTTTGTTTTGTTTGATTGTTCTATTTGTTCTAAAATACACACTTCTAACAATAATGAACATAATTTAATCGATCAGTGCCAAAATGTTTAGATCAACGAATCTTGATATGTGAATGAACATCTACAAACTAGCTAGACAATTTTTAAAAAATGTCATCTGAAATTTCTTTTTGTATTGTTATTCATTATGATGATATCTGACAAAGAAACGAATATAATAGAAATGTATAGATGAAACAGTAATGTCTGATTTTCAACTCAAACAATGTACTGTGTGTGTGGTATGTCACTCTGTCGAAAGTGAATACTTACTTGATCCTGAGAGGCACGTAACTGACAAAAATCAACCCATGTTCCGTTCCCTGCTGCAATGAAAACAGAATTATGCATAAACATGAGGTAATCATATAACTGATAATAAAGTAATTCATAAGAACAGTGAATTAAACACAATTTAAAATAATTGTTAATACTTAAAAAAAAACGGCTGGAGATCTGAGAGCAGAGTAATAATTATTCTCAGTCCTATTGAGAATACAATGATAGAGGAGTTACTCTCAGGTTGGTATTTTTTTTACTTTTCAAGTATTAGTCTGTTAGGGTTCAAGTGATTTCAAGACTCAGTTAGAGAATCATAGGAAACCAGACAGTACTGGACAGCTGTTTTGGTCCTTGGCTGGGACTCTTAAGAAATACGCATTCATAACCTTACCAAGAGTGGAAACCAGTATTTTCAAGTTACAAGGCAAGTACCTCAACCGTTCACAGTCACTAGGACGGAATCCAGTAACCCATCAATTTTCAAGTGAATCGACAATAACCACAAATCTAAGGGAAAATTCGATGTCTGAGCACGATTCATTCAGAAGAGCTGTACTCTAGAAGCCCACCCTAACGCAATAGACTTAGAAGTAAACCATACCATAGAGCTGCTTCCTTGATAACTGATACAGAGGTTTCTTAGCCAATTAAGAATGTATAGGAAACAGTTGAAGCAATAGATGCTTACTTTATTATGATCATTATTTACGAGTAGCTACTACATAGAGAATTAATTCCAGAAGCACTACTAATAAACAATAATACACTGTGTCAATACCGACTGAACTGTTGATTTAAGACCTCTAAGCGGCCTGAGTACGGCGAAATCACTGAGACTGGATGAACATTACCCAAGTATCCTCAAGGAGCTGTCAGGCCTAATAGCCGAACCACTGACAATCATTCTCAGACTATCCGTAAGACAAGAAATATTGACCTTTGAATAGAAGGATAACGTACTCATTTCTAAACAATAACAAAATTCCCCATATTTCAAATCGACTAGTAGTCGCAGAAATTGGTTACAATTCTGGAAAAATCAATAAAAACGGCTTTCATAGCTTAAATGTAAAACAATATTGTGTTATCTAATGTAAAACAGGAGTAAAACTCCCAACTTATTTTCTAGACACTTCATTAAGGCATTTGATAAAGTGTCTCATAACTAATAAATTGCAGAACTGGTAAATTTTTACACAACCGTCAAACTACTAATCTGTATGAAACAATTCCTGATTAGTAGGAGACACCGAGGGAAGATTAACTTCAAACACTCTTCTTGGATGAAAGAAAGTATAGCATGGAGTGGCGCATGAAACACCACTTCATTCCATGTCATTTCAACCAATTATCTACACTCACCAAATCCCTTTGAGTTTGTACGGTGATGATAATGATGGAGAAATCAGAAGAGAACTATTCATGATGTAAAGAATATTAAGGAATACCCAATAGGTTAGAATTTGAGTGACATGATAGGAAAGTGCAAAGTCGAAGACGAACTATATTCCTATCCACTCAAAGAGTCACCAGTTCTTGAAACAAACTTCGAGAATAAATGGTTTCTATACCATCAGTTGACTTATTTACAGAAGGGAATGGACAAGAACATAAATTTAGTATAAAATAATGAACAAGGGTTCTAAACTCTCTATTGTCTACAGAAAATCTGTCCTGAACCTGAATCAGTAAAGGATATTTTAAATGAGTAGTTGTGAGTGTGGAATGACAACACATTTTATTTCACTTAATGTCACGCAAGTTGGCGGTTTTCATCCTTACACACTGTCAATTATATTCAGTCTATTCTGGTGTAATCGAAGGATTCAGTATCAGTCAGAGAGAGAGATTTACAACATAAACCTCTGGCACTGATGGGGATAAAAGTGTCCAGCTTTACAATAAGTAATCAGTACATACAGCTCACTCTTCCTGAAGATTTGTTCCATGTTTAAACAAATACATTCTAATTGAATTTTAGATTTTCCCGTCGATTGGTTGGACTGAAGTTTTCGGTCTCAGGTTGACATGTCGGCTTCTTGTGCAGATGCTTCGACGATGTCTGGGCACTTAATTAGAATTTAATTGGTGGATGGTGACTACCAGTGGAATCCAGGATGGGCATTTCGTCATTTTCGGGACTCGTCATCGGGATGTGCCTGTATTTCGTTGAAGCATCTGCTCAAGAAGCCGACATGTCAACCTGAGACCGAGCACGTCGGTCCAATCAACCGACGGGAAAATCTAAAATTAAATTGAATTAACGTGACCCGTTGCACGAGAGGTGGCTCTTGTAGCCTATTGGATAACGCTTCGGCGTTTGAAACTATGGGCACTGGGTTCCAGTCTCGGCGGGAACATCATCACACACTGGGAAATGCAGGAACATCCAGATGACGAGTCCCAAGTAGGACGAAATGAACATCCTGGATTCCACTGCTAGTGACCATCCACCAATTAAATACATTCTAAACTTAAATCAAGTAAAACTTTCCTCAAAATGCTCACTCCAGTCCAGTATGGTTCTCAAAGTGAGTATAGGTGAATCTGTGTAGGCTAGGTGGACTCATCTACTGCAAAACAGTTTTATTCAGAGTTAAACTACACCGACTAGGAAGCATACTGTTCATATGGCATCAGATATTTATACCAATAAGTTGGTTATTAATAACCATGAGAAAAAGCCCACAATGAAAATGTATAATCAGAAAAGCAGACCACTATTATTACTATTATTATCATAAGATAAAAAGTATATTTTTATGTGGATAAAAAGGCAATTACCTTTGAATAAGAAAACGGAAAAGGAAAGAGCAATTATTAAAGTTTCCTTTTAATAGAAGAGTCATTATAAGAAGGACTAATTTCAGTTATTATTAGTATTATCCCGTTAAGAATAATTGAAAATGCCGAAATATTGACGAAAAATATTCTCCTCTTATGGCCAAAGACTTTAAGACTACATAAAGTTCGCTAGTCAAATGTTCATAGCCTTCTTTCTTTTCCTGACATATGTGTCAAATATACAATCAGCATCGAACCATTACTTTCTTCCTCTTACTTTCTCTCTCCTTCTAGTATTCTGCATATACTAGATCCAACATTTAAAAAAAAATAATTTCCATTGTAATAACATTTACTTATTACTTGTTGTTCCCCTGGGTTCCGAGTGGAACATACGACTTCAACAGCACATCTCCACTTTATCCTGTTCTCCACAGTCCTCTTTATCTGGCTTCATGGTTGACAATAGTCTATCATCTCCCACTAGCACGATTGCCTCTATGTCACCCTCGGACCTACGGCCCAACAAGTCGTTTCCAATTTGGGTTCCAGTCGAGCGATGGCCTGGTGCGCAGTGTTATTCGACGGTCTCCTAAGCGTGTGTGTTCGATCTATCTCCACTTTATTTGGGATATCTGTTGAGCAACAGGTTCTTGATTGACTTGTTCCCAGAGTCTTTTACTGATAATTCTTTCTGACCGGCTGTCTGGTGTGCAGAATCGAGCCACGAAATACTGTTGTTGATAAAAGTCTGCAGTGGCCTGTTGGAAATGCTGCCGCCATGTTACTGACCCATTTAAAATAAAAATGACTGACTTAACATTGGTGTTAAAAATTTCGAATTTCGTTCTTTATGCTGCGCAGTGCAGTGGATTTTCACAGTGATTTCAGAATGATGAGGGTTCGTCTTGCCCTTCCGATTCTGGTTTTTGACATCGTCATCCATGCTGTCGTCTGTAGTTTGAAGAATGCTCCCTAGATAGGTGAGGTTACTCCATTGGTTACTTTCATCACCTCCATCCTTTCTATGTTTACTTGAAGAGACTTTTTTCAACGAATTTTTTATCAGCTTGTACAATCGTGTATATATATATATAATTTTTAAGAAACCATATCCCGTGAGAAAATTTAAACAAATGGTGTGAGTACTTCTAATACTACTACCACTACTGCTAATAATAATAATAATAACAATAATAATAATGTGAAATGCGATAAAATGTTTGTGATTATAGTTATAGATCGATATCAGGCAATGAAACAAATCTTTCAAAGGGATGTAAAAATGATCGGATTAGTAGGCAAATATAACATTAAGTAACATGGTGAGCAGTTTGATAAGATAGATTTTAACATCGCAAATAGTATACTGATTTAAAATAATAAATGGGACAAGTGGAATAATACCCATAAAATTCAGTCATCACTCAGAATTATATGAGTATTGGTCAGTCAATGAGTTAGTGGCAGACAGAGTCTTTGTAGGAGTAGAAATCTTTCAAGTGTTCGTTTGCCGGAATTTGATTGGCTTTAGGGTTCGATCATCAGCTGACATCGGTTAGATAACCATTGGAAAACCTGGAAGTACTGAACAGTTGATACTCACCAGCGACTGACCGTATTCAGTTAGGTAGTTACCTGGATTCTGGTGAGAAGTTGTGACCAGTGGAGTACAGGAGGTCATGTGTGAGGACAGATACTCCTAGATGACCTTGGCTAGTGGTTGCGCAGAAGTTGGAATTTATGAACCATTGGATCCGGTCCCAGTAGATGTATGGCCTACGAGCTCGTCTTGTAACCGGAAGGTACTGGGTTCGAACCCCGATGGCTGTGTGCTACTGATGAGTCCCGAGTCAGAACGAAACGGCTGTCCAGTACTCCCAGCTAGTTTTCCAATGGTTCTCTAACCGATGCCAGCTCATGAAGAAAACTTTCAGTTGGCATACAACAGTCCATGCCGACCCCACATGTGCTCCAGATTTGATTCCCTGGAGAAACCCTCCGAAACTTCGCTTAGCTGATACTAAGCCTGTTAAAGAGGGAAGGCCGGGCATGAGACTAGCAACTTCATCTCGTTAAACACAGGCACAACCTTTACTGAAAGAAAAGAAAAAGTCTATTATATATCGTCGTACACAGATTTTTATATAAGCATTAGAGATCAACCTACTACATAATAGTATACTCTGTCCTGCAGTAGCTAGCGAAGGTAAACAAATCATACAGTTTGAAAACATTCTATCATTGACAGTTTTTAAGCATAGCTTATGTTTACTGAAACGACATGGTGACCCAAGAGAATTTCGGATATGTGATAATTAAGTTGGCAGAGCTAGGAATTTCCATCATATGTAACGATAGGAACACGTGTTGTGTAAGGCCGTCAATTACCATTAGTGTATGGTAAGAATGAATGATGCGCATAAAAGACACATTTTATTCAGAAAATGAAATATATTCGAGTGGGCACAGAGAATATTATCATTTCATTGGCGGCCTGCTTAAAACTTGGCCTAACAAAAACTTCCATCTCCCTATTGCATATATATCTTCTCTCGTTCGGTTTGTTTTAATCGATTAAGATATGACGCCTAGTGGTAGTATTATCTACTTTTGTGTGTATTTTAAAATGTTTACAAGCTTCTGATTCGCAAGTTCCTGCTAAACTTGAGGAATGGCCTGACTGAGGGTTGCAGAGTGTTCCAAGACATGAGATAACTGTCCTTCACTTATGTCTTTGGGTTTCAAAATATATCATGGATTTCTTGAAGGAGACAAAGCAGATATATCTCATAATGGAATGGTGGTTTGTGCTTCAGCTCAGAGACCATTGTGTCACAGGATATACTGTCAATCGAGATTTTTCTTGAAGATATTGTACGAAGGGAAAATATATTATGCAATAAACTCCTCTGAAAATTCTGTACATTTTATAAATACTGTCCAGAATAAAGATGTTGTTATTATTTATTTATTATTTGTTATTAACTGTTTTCAATTATTTTTCCTTGATGTTAACTGAATAGAACTACAAAGAACCTAATGTGTTTACATTATATTTTCTGCAACAACAAAATCTACAATAGAATACAAGTCAGAAGCCGACTACACATACATGCTTACTGATAGCTAGTCATTAGGCATAACTATTATGGAAAAACTAACCTGACAATGAGCAGACAAGAAGAAGAAAAGGCAATCAGAATCTATAGTCTGCTAGACTGAGAGTATGCGAGACTAGGTTCACCTTAGGTACAACCGAATGCTAACTCATACTTGTCATTTACCTGAAGAATAAGTGCTATTCAGGAGTAGAGATATTCAACAATGTGTGTTTTCAAAATACACAGACTTAAGCTTATAGTCAAGGTTAAATTTGCATAAGGACTACAAATCCTGTTTGAGAAAAACTGTTAATGACAACAACTATGTAACCAAGACTACAATAATAATAATAATTATTATTATTATTATCATTAAAATAATTACCTCTTGATAAAAATAAACAACTTACCCTTGACGTCATTATGTAATGCTGATACTTGTTTGACTCCATTGTTTATTATTCCTCCAGCATTACTACTTCCTAATTTATGACGTATTCGCAGATTTGAAGCACTGCTTTCTCTCACTGGTGTACGACAATTTGAGCAAAGCGATTGCCTTAGATTTTCTGTTTCCATTTTACGCTTACTTAATTTCTCCATTTGTTGAGCTAATTCTTTTTTCTCCTAAAGAAGGCAAACAGAACAAAACAAAACAAACAGAAGGAGAGAGAAAATAAAAGTAGCAGGCTGGCAAAAATCGAATAATTGACTGGGAAATGCGTTATGCATTTTTGTACAACCACCTGCCTCCTTTATTAGATGATACCATAGAGTCACACTAGACATATAGAGGAACTGATTCATAACAAATGTCAAAAGGTACTCGAATTTTCTTTAGGAGACTGTAGTTTCTCTCATCAGTGCTCATTAGAGCGCTACAAACTAATACACCTTGATTTAAGATTAGAACTTAAACACCGTTGGAGGCTATAATTCATTGTTAGATTTGCTTATTTAATAAGTCACACAGGAGGAGACAGCATTTATTTTTACTGGATGATGTTGACACCACAATAAGGTAGGTCAACTAATTTGAGTAATATTTTTCAAGGTTCCGTAGTTCGTTTTTCGTTCACTTCTACTGTTGGTGAACTTTTTCAACTGTTCACAGAGAGTATTGAATCATTCCTGTTTAACACGCTACTTGTTGATCTGATGAACAAAGATTCAGTATTCAATTTCTGTACCTCCCTCTCTCCAACGCTAAGACTATATTGAATTTCATCAATTTTACTCTGTTCTACGCTGTGATATCACCATACTTTTTTGAAGCTTACTTTTTCTATGACGATATGTGTGTCACAATATCGTCAGTGACCCTGATCGCCTACTTTTACCGGCGTATATGAGAAGAAAAGTATTGAAAGAGTTTAATTACCTTGATATGATTTCGTGGATTGTTATTACTTTCTTGATTCCCGATTGCAAGTGCGTCGGTGGCACAGCGGTAGAATGTTCACCAACCACACATGAGGTTCGGGGTTCAATCCCAGGCCAGCACACTCATTTACCTCACTAAGCAAATAATAAGACTGGTAAAGAGGGAAGGTTGGGCATTAGACTAGTAACCCCATCCCGTAAAAATAAATACCACTGGTATCGAAACTTCAAGGCTCTAGCTTGAAGCCCTATGTTCCACTGGGAACGTAAACGATTAAAATAAATAAATAAATAAAAATAAATAATTCCCGAGTGGCAAATAAGGCTTCAACAGCACACCTCCACTTCATTTTGTTCTTCGCAGTCCATTTTAGCTGGTTCCACGATCCTCCATGAGCTTTCATCTCCTCTTCACACGCTCTCATGTCACCCATGAACGCCCAACTCTCCGTTTGCTATTCGGGTCCCACTTAAGGGGATGGAGAGCGATATCACTCAGCAGTCTCCTCAGTGTAGATCCCGTCCATCTCACATTTCTTCTGCATATTTGTTGGGCAATAGGTTCCTGGTTGATTCGTCTCAGGAGTTACTTATTGTTCATTTGAAGTCCGCTACCTCTTCTAACAACTTTTGGGTTTTCGCCTGCAGTTATGTCGTAAGTAACACTGTCGTATATCAGGTCAAATGGTTAACACATCATATCGATTTAATTACCCCATCATATCACCAACATTGACGTTTTATTTTGCTAAGCCAACGTAGGCTGTTTAGAAATTTATTAGCTTGAAATAAAGCTTTATTTGTGAATTGGATCAAGTGCCTCAAATGTGAATTATAGTCTCGTAACTAACACATATCGTCATTATTTAAAAGTGGATATATACTGTTGAACAGGAATCACCGAAGGCGAAGAAAGAAATTAAAGTTATCGACTGCTGTACAGCATCACACCAAAAGACTTAACATTTGACAAATGATTTTGTATTAGACATCAATGGAGTGTAATACTGAAACAGTATGTTATTATTATTGTATTGTAATTCCTAGAGGAACATAGGGCTTCAGCCGTGCGTCTCCATTGCCTTCGGTTCTCTGCTAGAGTCTTCATCTGGCTCCAAGTCTGCCCACACGTTTTCATCTCCTCTTCACATGACCTCCTCCAAGTCACCCTTGCACTGACGACCAACTCGCCGCTTCCCTTTCGGGTTCCACTCGAGCAATGACTTGTCTAGTGATGTCACTTGATGGTTTCCTCAGAGTATGGCCAATCCATCTCCATTTCCTTCTGCATATTTGTTTCACAATCGGTTCCTGGTTGGTTCGCTCATTGCCAGAGATCCCTGTTGCTGATCTTTTCTGACCGGCCATCTGATCTTGAGTATTGAGCGAAGACAACTGTTAATGAAGGTCTGTAGTTTGTTTGAGATGCTCTTTATGACGCGCTGGCCAATTCTCTGATCCGTATAGTAGCACTGACTGACTCAACATTGGAGTTGAAAATCCGGATCTTATTTTTGATGCTGAGTGCTGTTGACCTCCACACAGACTTGAGAGTAGTGAAAGCTTGTCTTGCTTTTCCGATTCTTGCTTTGATATCCTTGTCAGTTCCGTCCGCCTGTAGTTGAAACGATGCTTCCCAGGTAGGTAAAAGAGGTTGTTTCTTTCAGGTTCCTCCCATTTATGCTGATTGTTGTCTGTTGTTGTTGTTGCTGTTGGTGGTCTTGTCCAGGAATCTTCATCACCTCTGTTTTCTCTATGTTCACCTGAATTCCTATCTTCCCTGGATGCTTCTTCTGCCAACTTGTTGCTTTTCGCTTGCATATCTTCCAGCTTGTGGGAAATCAGACATATATCATCGGCGAAGTCAAGATCCTCCAAGTTTTTTGTGTGAGTTCATTTTATGCCTGTTTCCTCATTGCCCGCTGTTTATCGCATTATGCAATCTACTGCAATAGGGAAAATCAATGGAGATAGTAGGCAGCCTTGTCTTACTCCTGTCCTCACTTCGAAGGGTTCCGTAAGTTTCCCGTTGTGGATTAATTGGCATGTAGCATTGTCGTACAGCTGTTGGAAACAGTATGTTAGCGACTTTATATTTATTAGTTGTCTGTTCAGCTTAATTTCCGTACACAGAATTATTACGAATATTATAAACAGACGATGAGTGAAATGGATTTATATCTCTCATCCAGTCAGAAACAATAATGACATTTAGAAGTCGACACCTCACAACAGTTACCTTTTTGAAAATTCACTAAAAAAAATTCACTGACTTCACTCATTTAATTGAAGGTGACATTTAGACTAAAACCGCAAACTCGTGCACACAACTAATGCTCATAGAATAACAGAAATATTAAGAAATGTGTAACCTGGATTGGAATTACTTAATGTGACATTACTCATCAAGTGCATAGCAAAGGTTTAGCCAACATATGCTATATACCACTGTGTACTGTGTACAGCCTTGGCTCAGTTAGAGTAGGCTGCAGATAGCTGCCACAGTGCCCTTAAAAGTTGTAAAAAGTTCACATAGGCGACATGTTTGACATTTTAGTAATCAATTTATAGATACCCAGTGTGTGTTTGTGTGTGACATGATTCCGGATAGAAAAAATTAGTGCCTACACAATAAATATTTACTATCTTTCAATGCCCAGACCTTTGATGAAGGTTGTTGTTGTTGTTTTTTAAAATTTACATTTATCTCCTGCTGACTTCATCTTGTTTAGTGTTCATATTTCCTTAAGCTTATTGATTTTTTCCTTTTTATTCTACTGTTATGACTGTATGATAGTTTGCACCAATGCACTTCGAAACGAAGGTATATACTCTTTTGCTGTATATGTCTGTCTATCCATCTCTCTTTCCGCATAGATATACACACACATACACACAATTCGTAATATGCAAAAAAGACAACTAATGTCACATAGAATAATTAGGATACCTTTTTTTACAAAAAAAAAAAACAAATATAAGGGGAAGAGTGACACAATTTTTCGCGATATAAAAATTTGTCTTTCATTTTGCTGCTTTACTGTCAGTCGACTGTGCTGACAACCCAGACTTGTTAAATACATCAGCCTATATACATGCATATTAACAAATTATTATTTGGCAGTTTGTCTGGATGACTGGGCTAACAAGTGGTTGAGTTTTTGAAATAAGCAGGCAACGGATAGTTGACATGGCAACACTAGACTGTATTGAATAAGAAGGCGAAATACCTGATCATGGCTACATGTCTTACTCCATTGGTTCTATAGATGATCCAGGGTTGTGATAGAAATCTAATACTGAAATAAATGAAATCCTCATTATCAAATATATTTCATTGATACCAATACATCCGGTTAAGCTGGTTTAGACTGACAGAATCTAACTGAAACCCCTAATTATTATTGTAAATGTATATATATATATATATATATATATATATCAGTTCAAGCTAACAGAAGGAGTGGACACTGAATAATGCAATCGAGACAAATGGAGACATTTCAAATTCTCGTTATCAACAGTGCATGTTTCCAATAAAAAACCCATTTCAAACAATACCGAATTAGCTATTCACTGCTAACATGTCAGAAACTTCAGATATACAACTCTAGCTACTTGAGAAGAACGCTGAAATATATCAACAGCGGGTCATGTTTCAACTATTTCCAACTTTCCTTCCTTTCAATCATAATTACGCTAGAAAGTAAAACAACAACATGCCCCAAAAATCCTAGTTGATGTAGACATACTATGATGATAAATGGTATGTTTTTCGAACCCATAATCTAATCTGACATCAGAAATTTTAGTCTTTAAAGAAGAAAGTTCTGGAGGTGTTACAGGTAGACAATTTTTATGAGTATCAGTAGGGATAAGACCTCTGAGTTAAGAAGGATTATTCATTAACTAATCCTTAAAAAAACAGCAACAATTACAAAGCGTTAACCACTGCTATCATAACTGTTGATTCAGTGTTAAACGTCTCAGAAAAGTAAATCATTTCACTTTGCCGCACTTTCTGCAACTTAAACATTATTAAATGGGGAAAACTATCTGTTAATGTGTATTAAAATAATCAGGACTTCGAAGGTAATGAGGAGTCAATACATCTGGTCCACAGTACACCATTTTGAAATATGTCACTAAGAACAACGAGTTTTCGGTTTTCATTATGCCGAGGATTTCAGTCATTTACCCTCACTGTTCTCCATCTTAATCATACTGAGAGACTTTCATTTCTTAGTTAACATTGTACGCTTAGTTTTAGTATTGCCTCACGCGTGGCACCGTATAACGAACAGTTTTAAAGGAGACAACTATCATCTTAAACCTGTAGTTTTCCATGGCTCTTGATTTCAGATGCCATAAGTTAGTAATAAGAGAGAATGTAAGCACCCTTTAAAATAGAATTCACCTTTGAAACACAAAAAGGATTTTAAAAACTTTCTTTCTAGTTAAATGTGGTATTCTGGATGCTTTAAGTCAGTAGTAGGTGACTCTTGGTAACATGGATGAAAATCGTTCACAATGAGTTGCATACAATCTCCTAATCATTTAAATACCTTAAGTAATCTTTATCAAAGTATTTCCTTCATAGATTTCGCGTTAGACTACCGTACTTCTGCATATTTTTCTGAAATTTGGCTGCTTGAACTGCTGAACGTTTGTACGATGGAATATGTTCATCTGTCTGCCCGTTATGATAAGAATGATGCATTTAAATTGTTGATATTAGATCGTTGGAGGCATTCGACAGGAAGCCTTGAACCCAGGTTTCGTGCTAGTTGGCATTCACCAGTCAGCAAGGCGTATCTGCAACCTTGAAGGAACTCATGTCCCTTCTGAGATTCGAACTCGCATCACCCAGCGCTGCAGTCAGAGACGTTACTACTCAGCTATTCGGGCTCGCCGATTCATGCCGATTGCCTCCAACCATCTAATATCATCTAATCAATGTTCACCGTGATGGCGAGCTACCTAGAATGGTGGCCACATTGTGAACCTGACTGACAGAATTCAGTCTGCACCGAAGAAAGGATTAGACACATTACACAAGTTACTAGTGTCCAATCAAAGAATGATGCCGTTAAAGTTTCCATTCTACTTCAGTGATCGCTGCAATTTTTCACTCAGTGCATACTCAGATAAAATTCGAAATACAATTTACTGTGCATCTGTTTGGTGCATTAAATATATTTTATATTATTATTATTATTCCATTGGATTCCAAGTGAGACACAAAGGTTCAGTAATACAACGCCATTTAACTTAGTTTTCTACAATCTTCTTTTAGCTCGCTCCACCACTGCCCATACGCTTTCATTTCTTTCCTCCTGACACGATTTCTTCCATGTCGTCCTCTGATTAACGCCAGACTCATCGTTTGCCACTCGAGGGCCTGGCACCTGATATCTTTGTTAACAGAATAACAGAAGGAAGGTGACTGCTTCAAAACTGAAATTATACAATTTAAGTAATAATTTATCCCCGTCTGTAAAATCAGTATGTGCCTACTGAGATCGTAATAAATATATTGCTAATATAAAAGATTATTTATAATGTGCATCCTTATTCAACTAAAATATTGTAAGGAACCTGTGGAGCTAATGGTTCTCAAAGAGTATCTGAAGTACAAAGCTAAACTCTTAGCAACAAATACTACATTGGATAGGAAAGTAGAAAGCACAAAGTATTTATGATTTAAAGTCATTTTGCAGATCAATACAAGTGGGCTGAATTAATCTGAAGGTCATTTATTACGTGACCAATTCTTCTGGGCTAATCAGTTTGCCTAGATTTGTGATTATCATATATTACCAATCTATATGCATTCGACTTAGCCGACTAGTATTCTTTTTTTTTTCATTTTTCTTCTCTCCCTTGTGAGTGATTATTATTCACTTATCAGTTCACATTATTTAATTTTGTTTACGAATGATTATTACTAGTGCAAACAAGTTATGCACTGTTGCTGTCTGTACGATAATGACTATCTGAGTGTGTGAAAGAGAGAGAAGCATTAAATGCAAGCTGTAAATATTACCATTTTGTTTAAAAAAAACCTTGCTTTATAGAAAAAAATAATTTAATTAACTTTTATTCACACACAGTAATCACAATAAATGAAATCTTTTTAAGCGAATTTATTGCCTGGCCAGCACAAATGGTATGCCTTAGGCACAGGATAGTGTCGTACAAAAGGTGTGTTCACAGATGTGTATTATTATTCTTATTAATGGGAAGAATTGCATGAAGTTAATATCAAGGTACCGGATTTTCTGTACAACTTATACTTTCTCTACTTCAGTGTAATAACTTGTGCTAATAAGAATATTCTGGATGCATATTCTTTTTTATCTATGAATAGACTGAATTATCAGCTTAACAATAACAACTTTATACGAAAAAACAGTGAAACAATTTGGAAGTGTTGAAGTAAGCGTATATCTACGAGTCAAGACCATGCTAGCGAAAAGAAGGTAAGACAGGCAAAGAAAGGGTGATTATTGAGCGTATATTTGTAGGAGTTAAAAGGTGCTGGTTACGAAGTTAGCTTTTATGCGCAGATGACATACAGATTCATAAACTGTTGACACCATTCCGTTATATATTTCAAATTATTTTGTGTTATTCATTGCCTGGTATGACAAGCATTTCTGTGTGTTACGTAAAGACTGTTTAATGTGCAATCCTAAAAACTGTACTTGTATCGATTAGATAAAACATCAATAGGGCTAAGATGATCCATCAGTGATTCGTAGTGCACCGAATATCTTTACTCATACACTTACCTACCCATCTGCATACCGTTGAAAGCAAGCATCGTTAAACTTCACAAAGTGATGTCATTGCCACTGTGCTTTATCAACTATGTTTTCAACGAAACAGCCCAGCATCGAGAAAAACACGTAAGGATAATTTAATACACATTTTTCAATGTCTGATTGGAGTAAAAAGTAATTCAAATTCCTGGCTATACAACATTATGACAATAATAATTTGGATTATGGATTTTCCAGGGATTTGGATTAAATGCAAGGTGGAATTCGTCACAAACAAACATCAGTTCGAAAGTCACTGAAGACGAGGAAGCACCGGGCAGCTAATTCGTCCTTCTTTGGGACTCTTCAGCACTGAGCACCCGTCAGGGATCAAACCTGGGGGCTTCAAGTTACGAGGCGAGGTTCATTTACCCTTCTTTGATTCGTAATATAGCACTATTGGCGACTAATATCATCATACACTTCACCTTGACATGGTGGCCCCGATTAGTTATGACTTCTATTTCCAACTTTAGGACGCTCATTCAGTAGCCGTCAGTGAAGCTGGAGGTTAATATATAGATTGTAGGTTTTGTAGGGTTTGGATTAATTAAGTAACAAATGATAATAATAATAGTAATAATAATGAAAGTAGTAATAATAAAATCAGCATACTATAACAAGGTGTTTTTCAGCTTCATGAAGTTTATGACTTCTTTCTTGAAGTTCAGCAAATTGTCTACTTTGTTCATCTTGTAACCGACGATGTCGGCACTCAGATTCCTTTAGCAATTTCTCAGCTTGACTTAACACATCAGCACGTTTGTTCAATTCATCTTGCCTTTGATCCAAGTATTCTTCACGCCGTGTTAACAGTTCTTGTTCACGAACAAGGTCACATCTAAGATGATTAATCAATAAAAAAATAAAACTAGTTAAATACTATGCATACTACTGAAAATTTTGCCGAATAAATACGGTGGATTTTCAACTCAAGTGGATAGAAAACTTGCATGGCTAGAAGGACAGTCACGAAGTTAGACTACTGATGTTGTCCAGGTTTCCTTTCAACTTCATGAAGGCAAGTCCGAGTTGAAGGCATATCTGAGCTAAGAACAACTGACAATGATTAAACGTTTTTGTGAAAAGAATTTGTTTGACATATTTCGGATCTTGTTTAAGTTAAGTATGTTGGATTAATTCTCTTTTCTGACCTATCCTGGTCTTCCCATGTCCTAGCGATTTCTAAAAGAATATTTCATTTGACTTTTTACATTGAAAAGTTAAGGCACTCAGGCATAACCCAACCACTCCTCTTACAGTTTGTCAAATCATGCATCTTACCTATTCTTCTGTACTGTTCACCCTTATTCTTTCCAGGATTGCTTAAAAATGACAATGTCATACTTCGTAGAACTCTGAAGACTATCAGTAGGACGAGTGGTATCCAAGTGGGCCATATCGTTGACATTTTCACTGATAGGAACTTGATGTCATGCAATAAATTTGCTAAAGGGATTAGTCAAACTGTGAGCACCCACTTTACCCGCAGCTCCAACCTTGTGTCTCCTCAGGTAAAACAGGAAGTCTTTTCAGAAGACTTTATGCACGTACGTCTAAGTATAAAAATACCACTATACCATATTTGACAGCACGTACTTTATGTGATGAAAATAGTGTCAGGCATGAACTAACTAACCATCTTAGCACTACTAAATAAACCATTTCCTCCACCCTTACAACATCAACCTTTATTGTTATAGTACTTCTTATATTTATAATCCTCTCAATTTTTTGTTTTTCTTTGTTTATTTTTCCATAAATGTGAACATCATTTAAGCTGTGTTATAACCGTTAACTTTGTATTTCCCCTTACCAAACTATGTCAACAGAACATCAGATTCAGTAATCTATAACACGCTAAAATTTCCAAACTGAATCGACACTACTGCTTGAAACAAACTCACTGTTATTATTATTGTTATATTTAATAATCTCAATTCGTACTTCGAATATTTTTCACTTTATATCATAAATGTGGACAAATTCCTCTGGTTAGTTTTGTTTTAATTTTTAGTTTTGTTTATATTTTAAGTAAATCAGATGCAATATTGTGACAAAAGCTGAGAATTCCATTCTATATTATCAGTACTGTTTTTGGAATAAAGTACATTATTATTATTATAAACTCCGTTGGTAGAGTCTATGGGATTTTATAGATTTGCAGACATTATCCCCTTATGCATTAGTACAGGTGTAAGATATTGTAGTAATCTCAGAGAAGACAAGGTGACTGATCAGACGGATGGAATATCTGCAGATAATAAATCTCATACTTAATACTAAGTCTCTTCCTATTACATCTATATTCGTGATAGCTACCATCAAGATGTTCACAACACATTGTGTTACATTCTTTTCAAATGTTTGATAGAGGAAATGGACTGTAACTTTTATGTTTCTCCACTGCTGATCTTAGGTCATGTTGAAATAAAGTTAACAATCCCTGGTCATTTAGAAATATTAATGGGGCACTTATCTGAAAAAAACGTTGAAAGCCCTCATTGTAAATGTTCTTCTGTCATTTGGTGATATGGTATTACCAAATTGAGTAACCAAACTAGTCAAATTGAACCAGTCCGTAAATCAGCAGCTTTGAATCAATAAAAATGCCACTTATGGTACAACAAAAAAAAACAATGTTTAAATAAATCAAATTACCGAACAATATCTAACTGCCGTCTGGTTTCTTCTAATTTCACTTCATCTATTCTAACTTTACTGATTCTTTCATTCAAAGCTTGACGTTCTGATGCTAGTGCATCTTTCATTGTATCGATATCTTCCTTAGCCTAGATGTAATAAAGAAGAGGAACAATGATTTGCTTGTGCAAAATAAAATAATGTAAGTTGGGTAAAACAAAATTTAGGAAGAAAAAATACAATACAATTTAGGTAAAAATTTCATTCATTAATCAACTCTACACATTAGTTCTAATCTCCGATTAGTGAAACGAATAATTTCTGAGGGGGGGAGGGGAGGTGTTTTACGCTAATTTTTAATTTGCACAAGAAAAACAAGATCCGATTTTCGTAATGCTAATATCAAGTCAGTGCTTCGATATGGTTCAGAGACTGGGTGTGCTCGCACTTCTTGAGAAGCATTTTCAACAGGCTGCTATAGACTTTCGTTAAGACCTGTCTCCTGTCAGTACTGAAGACCAGAAGAGATAAGCAACAAGGAACTCTGGCGACGGCCGTGAATTAGCCAAGGAGCTGTTGACCAACAAATATGCAGAAGCAAATGGAGATAGCTTTTGCATAGGCTGAGAAGATATATCCAATTATTACCCCCGTCAGGTTGCCGAGTGGAGCCTGAATAGGAAGCGATAGGTTGGAAGTCAGATGTTGAAGTGAAGAAAATCATGCCACTTCGTGGAGCCAGTTGAAAATGATAGCAGAGAAAGGAGTCAAATGAAGAATATGAGGCTGAAGCCGTGGTTTGAAATACATTTAAATAAAATTCTAAGTGAGGTGCAGTTGATACATAATAAGCATTTATATATTGTATTCTAACTGATATAGTTCCACCGGTTGAACTGTAGTACAGCATACAACTACTATCTAAGTGGAAAAAAGTATAACAGATGCCATGGGGAGTGTATACAAATCAACAAAAATTATGCATCGGAAATTTGTTCACACCATTAATCGAAGACAGAAAAGATGAACACACTTATATCACAACAAAATATACCAATTTAATCATAAGGAGAATAAAAGAAAAGATGATTGTATCATATATATATATATATATATATTTATGTGTATATATATAATTTTGTCTGAGATTCCTCTTCAAATCACTCAAGTAGAAATTGAATAAGAGCAGATTATCACCAACATCTTGATCGATTAAAACAAAGAATACATTGTGAGCAACTGTCTTATTCTTGATTTATATACTTTTTTCGTAGAAAAAGCTTCCATCTTTTGTTTTAGACAGTATACTTGTGTGTTTATTAGGCTTTTTTTTCCACCTACTTTTCTGCTATCTTATTTCATTATTAAATACATAAAGGAAACTTGTGCACGCAGAATATGAACAGGTGTGCTAGACAAACAAATAGCGACAGTACTCTAGGACTATGGGACAGGAAGAAGAAGAAATAAAAGAGAAACAGTCAGATAATGAAAAAAACAACAACAATCAAGTATCCTAATACCAATTTTTTTTACAATAATATAAGTAACATGCCATGCATAAACAAAACTCTAAGTAAATGTGAAGCGCTACTGCCACCTGATTAGTACTTGGTTATGTAGCTTATTTTCACGACGCAGAATGCCTCTGAAAGTGTAACATATGGTTTTCAAAGTACTTTGTCAAAGGTTCATCTTCTACAGAAACTTTTATTGGCATTTATGTCTTCTTCCAATGATATGTATTCAAGTGAAGTATGACGACTTTGTGCAAAGTCCTACGTCATTATCTAAGTCGGTTCTTATTTCATTAAGTTGTACTAGTCGTCTCTGACCACAGGTGATTTGCATTCTGTCTGTCATTCTAGGTGATATAATATGGTTATAGTTAATTATGAGGTTAGGTGGAGAGTGTCAGGTAAGCTCAGGTAGTCAATCGATAAGGTTATAAAGCTGTATTGATTGAGATGGCTAGGACACGTGTTACACATATCAAACCATTGCCATTTACACAGAGCAATGTAAGCTGGTATGGGATTGGATTGTAAAAGAGTTACGAGTGGTCAAACCAAAACATGGTATCAGTCCATAAAGTCCTTCGCTTTGAGTCGCGCAGGAAGGTGTAAACTGCCTGGATAGGCTTTTCCAGACTTTAAGACCCCATGGCTCAAAATCGTTCTCAAAAGACGCACATACATTCATCCTTTGTTGTCTCCCAGATCCATTCAATCCACAGTATTCTCCATGTAATTATTCTATTGCTCGCATATGTCTACATTCTGTGTGCTATTGTTAAGTATAGCAACTTGAAATGCGCTTAATTTGTGCAATGTCCTACGTTAAAAATTTAGCTCAGCTATTAAATTAGGCCTATGAGGAAAATTCGCCAGTTTCAAAGCAGTATTCATCATTCAGGGATATACTGAAAAGTAAACACCCTTATGTAGCTGTTTTTTCCCTATTCTTTCAGTAATTTATGTTGGCATTTTATTCAGAGTAACAAAGCACGGTATTGTGGTTATGCAATGACTCCTTGTAACTCAAACAGATCGAGTATTGAAAGTTATTCAATAACTTTGACTTTGGAGGGTTTCATCATGTGAAATGACATCAGTTAGAGAACCATTGGAAAACCACCGGGGAGTACTGGACAGCCAGCTGTCTCGTCCGAGTGCTCATGACTCCTTATCAGTACACACTCACTACCACGGTTCGAACCCAGGACCTTCTGGTTACAAGGCCAGCTAGCTCGTAGACCATTCAGCCACTGGGACCCGATCTAATGGCCCATCATGATGAAACCCTCCAACCAATCAAACACAGTCCCTACAAAACCAATACTTGAAAATTAATCTGATGCTCACTAGCGACTTGCCCTATTCAGGCAGTTACCTGGGGTTCTAGTGAGAAGCTGTAACCAGTAGGGTTGAAGGTGACGCAGTAACTCATCAAAGAAGACGCTGCGAAGTGGTCGCGCTATATCATGAACTGGCAGAAGTTAGAATTCATGGGCTGGCCATTGGATCGGGTCCCAATGGCTGAATGGTCTACGAGCTAGCTGGCCTTGTAACCAGAAGGTCCTGGGTTCAAACCGTGGTGGGGAGTGTGTACTGCTGAAGATTCCTGAGCACTCGGACGAGACAGCTGGCTGTCCAGTACTCCCTGGTGGTTTTCCAATGGTTCTCTAACTGATGTCATTTCACATGATGAAACCCTCCAACCAATCAAACACAATCCCCACAAAACCAATACTTGAACTTTGACTTTACTGACACAAAAGAAGCATTTGTTTGACTGATATACGGCCTGAGTAAGTCAAACACGGCTTATAATTGCGCCAATTAAAATGCCTTATAAGAGCAAATTATTATTCACTGTTCGCTATCTCTTTCTATGGTAAACTAGATCTCGACTGATCTACCGTGTTCCTGTTTTACAGCATGGAATAAAAACATCAAAGTGACAGTTTACGTTAGACTGCTTGTATGTAGTATATCCATGGTTTTGGTTACAATATGACTGCTAAGACAAGTGACGGCAAAACACTCAGTTTACTTTTGTTTAATGCTTTGTTCAGCAGATCATCACTTATGTCACCTAGTAGAATACAACAGTGACTAGTAATTGAACTAAACATGTTCACATTATAACAAATAGTAATAATAATAATACACACTGTTAAACTAAGATAGAAACATATTGAAAAAATTGAACTGCACATTTAAGGATTCATATTGTCTTCAGTACCTTTTTCATGGCTAATTCATCTGCTTTTTGTTTCTCCTCCCAGTTTAATTGTTCTGCACGAAGACGTTGGTGTTCTTCAGCGATTAAATTACGTTCCTCCATATTTTTCACCTGAGCTTTCCGATGTTCACCGATAAATGTCGTCTGTGAAAATAAGTCAAAATAAATAGTGCAATGCGAAAATTATCTCAATTTTCTACAGATTAAGTTACAAAATATTATTGGAAGAGATCAATGCACTATTGAATAAAACAACCATTAATTTCGCACAGATGATGGTGGTGACCAAGATAAGAAGGAAAGCCTATGTCAGCAATTGGATGCAAATCGGAATTTATCTCGTTACTGTCTGAAATGCTGAACTCAGCGGCGCACCAAGTCACAATTTCATTGGAGTAGTTAAACTTTCACCACCATCTACTAGATGCTTGAGTCAGTTCCCTGGTGGTCGTCATGTACGATCCCTACATAACAGACATTTACTTTCTCTTCCTGTCAGCAATAAAAATGCATACACTCAGCAATCTTTCAAATCGTAGTGTGTCAGATGCTTAAATCACTGAATGGTGTTCATTCCAAAATAGCTGAAATACACACACACGTATATATTCATTCAGCTTAAGAAAAGCTACGAGAGTTACCTGGAAAAACAATCATGTATAAAAATTTCATTGGTATACATATATAGAAAATATCAAATAAGACTGGAGAAGAAATCACATTTTAACAATCCTAATCCAAAAATTATTCATAACAAATATCTATGGTTCATTTGGCTCCTGTACAAGTTCATCAACAAGTAGCGTGATGCCATATTTTACTGACGTGTGTTGGCGGTACAGTGGTAGAATGCTCGCCAACCACTCAAGTGGTCCAGTGTTCGATCCCTAGCCGACGCACTCATTTATCTCGCTAAGTTAGTAATAAGGCTGGTAAAGAGGGGAGGTTGGGCATGAGGTTAGCAAACCCATCCCGTAAAAATAAACACCACTGCTACAGAAACTTCAAGCCTCTAGCTTGAAGCCACCCTATGTTCCACTGGGAACGTGAAGGAATAAAAAGCAGAAAAAACATATATACTACTGACTGACTGACATAAGTAGTTGAAAACTGTTGACATAGATGAATGGGTAACCGATAAACAAACAGTTCTAATCATTATCATCATCGTCAACAAAAATCAGTATTGATTGAATTGGCTTTTTTGTTGTTGTTTATTAGGTTACATCGCATGTAAAATCATACGATGCAGTGGGATAGGTTATTTATAGCATCTGCTTAACAGTAAAACACTGTTTATTCTGTCAGTGTGCCAGTTTACACTGATCATAGTAGAGAAAAACAGAAAACCCGACAAAAAGCAAGTTGTTGAATGGGTAATATCCACCTTTCTACAGATTTGATTTTAAGGCTGGATGCAGAAGGAATGGATATGCAACTTTTAGTGTAAAGGTATATATGAATTTTCGCCCTATTTTTGTTGATTTAAGCACAAACAAGTGAAACGATTGTTCAGTTGCTGTTGTATACAGCCAATCGATGACAAAGGTAGATATTCATGCAGTACAAACAAAATAAAAGGCAAAGCATACAAACTAATTAACTGACCACTAACTGCTGCATCTCAGCTCGTGCTCTTCCTGACTGATCGATTAAACAACGTCTTTCTTCTTCTAGACTGATTTGAGTTTTTGCTAGTCGATCGTATTCTTGTTTAGCGGCCCATTTATCCTAAAATAATACATGAGGAAATTTGTAATGAACGATTCTGAAAAGATATAGGCTAATAAGAACAATTTTCCGTATGTGAGTTATTTTAAACTGACGAATACAGCTTTCTGACAAAGTGAACAAATGAACAGTTGCCAGCTAGAAATGAAATTGTTCAAATTGCACTAAAGATGGTTGACGGCAGTGTTACTGAACATTTCCGCTCAAAACGATATATGTATATATTCAAACTCATGAAGTTGAATGCTTAGAAATAATATTGTCGCCAACCATGAACAGCAGTTCAGTAAGTTAAAGTGTACAACTTTATACAATCTTTCCCAGTCCTCTTTGCCCAGCCAAGGGAATCCTATGATTCAAATCTCTCTAAGAATTACAAAATTCTGAAGCTTGTGAATGGCTGTTAACAGTCACAATAGCAAGACTTTGTGCTTGGAGATTCTATATGTCCGATTTGAACCTTCTTCATATCAAAGACACAATGCCGTCACGTCACTTAGATGACGAATGGACAGAATGATACGTACTAACTGATTACCTAAAAATAACAGATCCAGTTGTCTATCAACACACTTATAAGCTACATCTGACGTCAGGTGTTGACTGTTTCGTATAAATGAGGGTATCTGGTACATAGATTATGGTTTTGTACTATTTCAACAGGATAGCTTTAACTAATTTACAGTTGATTACAGATTACAATGCTCTTCTAATTAGTGCATTCGGATAACAACAGTGTATTCTCTCAGTGTATTTTTACATTGGTATCCGCTGAATTGACATATAAGTTGAATCAGGTGTTGTTGGTTGCTTTGTTTTTCTTGGTTACAGTGTGTGGAGAATATTACTATGCACACCACTGAATGCGCTACAAGATCTCGTCCTGGTAAGAAAGGTGAATTTAGGCTCTTCGCAGTTAGCAGACAACAGAAAGCTTCTTATAGAGAAAAAACACATAGTCTACCTTAAGTCTATATGGCGATGCCGCATAGTACTCCGGGCTTTTTAAGATAAAGTAAGAACAAACCAACCTATGGTGAAATGACATCCTGAAGTTAAGGTAAGGATAACATGTGAATTCATCTGAACTACTCAGATCGACTTCGAGTCATTTCATATGTAGTCGCTAATCGAAGGAACGTGAAAGAGCAATCAAGTAGGACAAAGTAACCTAAACATATACACATGAGTCAGAACAAGAATTACACACTTCGTAGCCTAATGTAGGTCCGGTCGACCCGTTACTTTCTATCAGCTTGATTCTACTTTTGCTAAATTCCCCTTTGGAATAGGATGTGGACGCAACATAGGTACTCTACAAGATGGTTCAGACTCTGTGCTAGATTTCTGCTTATGTGAATTTGATACTGGCACCAATCAAATAGTTATACGAAACACCTCTAAAAAGGGAACTTAGTTTATTATAAATTAAAACTACTTTACAAGTTTTATGCACCAGTGAATCAACTCACATTTTTCACAATACTATGGCCTTAACTAAGCACTTTGTAATAAAATTACATTTGATAGCGTTCAACATACATATGAGTCAGTAATCACGGTATGTATGAAGAGGAGAAACACTTGACCAACAGTCTTTGATTACTACCTAGTAATTGATAGATACTATTTGACTCATTTACGCAGATAGCCTACTTCGGACCTGATAATCAGCACAACAAAGTCACTAACTCTTACATGGACCGAAACGGATTAGAATTTTATTGTTAAAAATACCTTTTACTGATAAATACGAACAAATATGTTATTAGACTTTAAGCATGATCGCAGACGCCTAACACTTTAAGACACGCAATGATGTTGTAAATATATGGGAAGTATTTGTGAATAATCATTCAACAAATCTATGGGAGAGTTGGTTGGACTATAAAATAGGCTCAACATTTTACAGAATACAAAAGAGAAATTCTTATGATCTACTAAGAATGTAACTAATACTTCACTATATATTTGTTTCACACAGAGGAACAAAGCAGTATGAAATTGAGCGCTTTTTGGCTATTCCGCAATAGAGTAGGAGCTTTCATATGATCGGCTTAATGAGTCCACTTGCGTAGTTAACAGGTGAAGTACCTTTTTCAAAATGGTGTTCCCATGACACCTTTTTTTAAACCATGAACATTTATCATCCTGTAGTGTAGGGTAATGTAGATGATTAACAGCCTAACGAAGGAAGTCAAAACATATATATCTTGTAGGTTTTTTCAAATACCATTATGGAATATAATCCTTCTTGCTCCAAGAATCTATTTGCCTGAATATTTCCGTTGCTAAGTATACCCTAAACAATACGTCTATTAATTACCCCGCATTGATAGTTAACGTCTTTATTTAACATGAGCAAATATAGAAGCTAATTCAGAGTTGCTGAACCCCCATACTGTGAATTTAATCCCAAACGGTTGGATTAAATAGCGTTAATTGTTAGACTTTTGACTGCAGTCTGTATTTTGTCTACTTTATATCATACAATTCAAATCAGCAGATTCCCATTGCTTCTTTTTCGAAATTAAAAGTAAACCTGACGTTTGATTACGATAATATAAGTGTCAAACTGGAACTATGAATGCTGTTTTTTCCGATAAATTCCACTATTGTTTCTGACTGTTACTAATATTCCGTTGTCTTTTCATCGATACAAAAACATCAATATCATGACTCCACAAATTACGCATATTTAATTTTGCTACTCAAACACTTAAAAGTAGTGGAGATGACTACTCAGTTTAATAACGTAAATTCAAGGACAGAAATAATGAAAAAATATTGTGAAAATAAAATTCTATTATCCAAAAACAAAAGTTTCAGCTGTAAACCGGAGTTAGATGTGTTTCTATTTTAATGTAACATCCTATTTTCTGTCTAGATTATTTATTCTTTTGTTTTATATATTCACACCTTCGCAATATGGCTTGGGCGGCTTTTCCGGGGTCGGTTTAACTTCGTTTGGATCTTGATAACGTTTCATTTTATAAGCATACGCATCATTCTCATTACAAGAGCATCTACACATACACTTCTCGGCACAATCTAATGGTGCGCCAACAATTAGATTATCTCTTGGATAGATTGGGGTAGGGCGCTCTGAATCACGTCCACGAAAATCTGCTCGATAAGTTGTACAGTTCGGCATAGTTCCATAGCAGGCTGCATGACTGCATTTACAACAAGCACATCTATCTTCTAATCTTCGTATTTGAGACATAATAACGACGAAGGGCTTGAATAATACCAGTTATTAATTAAATGGAACTTCTTGAATGGATAAAATATATTAAATGCTGGTAGCTTTCGTGCTTTTCAAATTGAAGCGTATCGATCTGATACAGGTAAAAAATCGATACAGATTTATGCCAGCTAAATAATAATAAAATAATAAACCAAATCGCCTGGATGTTTATGCATTCGATAAGGTGGGTTTTTTGCGTATTTTTGAATAAAATGAACATTTAAAGTTCATGCAGAGTAAAGGACACATTAAAAGTGGAAAATGATACAGTCGTAGAATAAATAATTTCATTTGATGCGGCAAACACTAATACGGTATTATTCATTTACTGATGGCCTTTCGAGGAGAGTTTATTGTTCATGGTACTGACCGAATTTTGATGATATAGTTATATCATCTTTCATCGAGTGATTTTATAGGTAATAATATTTTTCATATTTGGCATTGTATCACTTTTCTTATTTGTATGATATGTGAAAGACAAAAGTGGTTTAGAATGTACAAAACATGTACCAGACCTTAAAGTTGATCAGATTCACATCTGACTGGATGCATAACTCCATCACATGATTTCACAATAAAGACACATATAGTCTTTGTGTTTTTCGCTTATAGTGAATATGCTTCAGTAGGATAGATTGAAATACTAAACTCTTTTCACCATCCCTTCAATTTCCCATCGATTCATATTTATTCTATTACTTTTATAAATTACAGTGCCCCATTAGTTTGGATTAAATTGCATACTAACTAGATCCGGAATTATAAGCATATAAAATAACCATGAATTTGATATTTTCAAATTACAACTTGCAGTTAAAGTACAAGCATTATTTTAAGGTAGATTTATCGACACTAATCGGATTTTGTTCCCAGAAATTTCAGTCTGGATACAAAAGGCACACATTTGTTTGTTACCTTGCATTATCTTAGCCAAAAACATGATATCCACCTGTTCATCATAGGATATGTGCAGTATGCAGTGTCCTACTGCACAACTTTGACACATGAGTGTTAAAGGGAGAAGATATAAAAAGTTTGAAGGCTGTTAAGTATACATATCTTCGCTTGATTACTCACATTCGGTAAAGCAATATAATTAGTAATGAATAACGCGTTGAAAACAGATTTTACGTAAGGAGGGGAAATTGATCGAATATGTTGTAAGCTAGCAAAACAAGTACCACAGACCCCAAGCCACCACTTCCATTGGTGAGCAGTGTTAGCTGAAATATGAAAACAGTTAAGCCTAGTTTGACGAAAACACGACTTCAATCGATGTGACTTTTGATAGGTGATTTGAATTATTTGGGGTGAAGTAGATTGTTTGGTTAGGTTCCTCTGGATACTGTGAATCAATGGTTAGAGACTGTTTTTGATACGGCTCAAAAGTGTCCTTAGTAGAGCCAGTGTATTCACTCCTTATCACATTCCAGATTCTGAAAACTGTCGCTAATATCATCTTATTATTTATTCATTTCAACGTAGATCTTCATCCATTTTGGTTTGATTAAAATTAATCCTTACTTTTATGTATTGTTTCTTGATGTATGTCAGTTGAGTTAGTGCACTTATACGCAGCTAGAACAGAAGTTATGAATACACATGCAGCTTATAACTGTGATACTACTAATATCCCCTGAGCATCAAACAGTTATCTTATTTTTGAATTTTAAACAACTGACACAACTTTGAAGACATTGACTCCTGGATAATAATAAATCATTTTTTTTAACTGTTAAGAGCTCACTACAAAATGTTTACCTGTTTTTTTTTTTTAAGAACAACAGTATAACTACCATCCTACTTCCATATTAAGACGAAGTAGCCAATAAAATACAGCTTAGTTTATTTGTAGCTCCTTGCCAAATTTCTTGCCAAATCAGCTGGCGTACAGTACACAGATAAAAGAAAATATAATGTATTAACAATAAAACACATCAATCTTACATCTGTCGCTAATTTTGTGTGTTCACGAAACTGAATTTCTAGTTTTGTGAATGAATCAGCTATTTGTTTCCGTTCATAATCCAATGAATTCTCCTTCAGTAAAAAAGTAAAGAAAATGTGAAGTGAAACTCTTATATCATCATGAAAAGTACAGTCATCATGCTTTTTTGTTTATATACTGATCGGCAGTTTTAGCAAGTAGTCCTCTTGAATAGATTCGTTAAAGCAACTGATGGAGCTAAAACTTGCCTATCAACTCGATTAGGAAGTATCAAGAGAAAGTGACATGTGTAAATACATAACCACAATCACACGCCGTATACAAAAGGTAGCCCTTGGGATTAGATAGCGTCTACGTGTCTAAAAAAACGAGTTATCAGCCGGTGTTTTTTAGAAATATCTTCACAATGAGATGCTAATATTTTTTTGTATCCAATGGAGCTCATACAGGAAGAATTGTGAATATCACTTCCCATTGTCAGCTGCTACCAAACAAATATCAAAGTTTTCACCAGATGTCCTCCATTTCTGTATATCACTGTACACAAAATTATTGCTATACATTCTATTTCTTTACCTGTACAAAATAAAGAAGCTTTTATTTCATTGAATGAACTAAGGTCCATTCAAACAGCATGCTGGGAACCCACACGAAGACCTCTTCATTACTTCAGTATACAAATATCTTTTAAGAAAAAAGTTATAGCAAACAGGATGTGAATTTGACAACTTCGCCTATTCACCAAATACCTTCTATTTTAAAGTAAAACAGTCTAAACCACTGCCGTCCCATCAGCCGATCGCCTTAATAGACATTTTATGAATACTTTTAAATTATGACAATCGATCCGAACAGTCCAAATCCTCTGAATATTCGAAAAAGGGTATCTTTAACTAAATGTGGTTGCTTTTAATACCCATGATCTGTTTTATGTAAGTCGACACGTTTTACTCACCGAAAATTTGGTATTTTGAGTCGGGAATATCAAGTCAGGACGTTAGTTCTATATGGTTCATGCTTTGAAATTTTAGAGACTGAACAAGTGTTTAATTACTGTTACATTGGGGATGAAGTTATCGAACTAAGTTCTGGGACAGAAACCTCACTGTTAGAATAAATAATAGTTGGTGGTCCCATGTGTCTTATAAGGATGAACTGCAGAACAGAAAATGAAGAAGAGTGAACTAGTTAGTCCCTTAGATGATGGATGTAACGGGTGAGTCCTACCACCATAATGTATGCTACTCCAGTAAGTAATACATAAGATTAAAATAAGCAGAAATGCACTCAGACAATATATTAGTAGTCTCATTTCATCAAGCACTTTTTCCCCGAACAACCACTTATTCCTGGATCTCAGAGCAAAAAAAAAACTGAATACCATCAAACTAAACTCATCATTTGTATTTAAGAAGGTTGGCAGGAGGACTTATCCAGATAGCGACTATGCGCTGGTTAAATCATTGTGTTTAACGTTCACTCAGTATCTGACATAAATGGCTCAAGTCTCTAGACAATAGCTTGAGAATCACTTATATGTTAGCTAACCACGTTCAATCTTTATAAAATCCGACTACGTGGGATGAAGTCCCCGCCACTTTTACTCAATGTCCAGGTTTTTTTAAATCATTAGGTCTGTACTGTCTAAGTCACCTACAGTCTTTTTCCGAGAAACAGTTCCAGAAGTTTCTTCTGAACTGCTGATGAATATATTTCTGTTTACATTTGTGCCCTAATAAGTTGAATTAAGAGGCTCATATTGAGTAATATTCTTGGTTTCACTAGGAATTTAATCAGTATTTTATATTTCCCTTATTTCAGTGACCTACGTATATCCTGTCTCTATAGTTATCTTCGGTATTTTAGGGAACTGAAGCTTTTTTATTGCGGTAAAATAATACTGAATTAAAAGTGTTCTTTTAACTGTACAACATCGGTGATATTGTGACATCACTGAACTAACACATTTGTCATTCAATGTAACGTATCTGGTCTGCCTCACTTTTCGATGTTCTAATAACTCAGCCATCCATCTCTTTAAACTTTATGATGTACTCCTACCTACGCGTAAATATGCAAATATGCTTGCTTTCTTGATAACCATCTATTGTATCAAACAGATCACATATTGTGATCTGAAAAAATTAGTTTCCAAGGGAAACTATGGTGAAATTTCCCCACGCAAACTGTGTTCACTTCAGTTTGCTAACCAATTTGTAAATTATGAATTTGGTTTTTTTTAAAGACTCTATGCTAATGCGTCGGTGGCATAGCGGTTAGGACACTCGACGACCATGCACATGGTCCTGGGTTCGATTCCCGGCCGACGCACTCCTTTACCTCGCCAAGCCAGAAATAACGCTGGTGAAGAGGAAAGGTTGGGTATGAGGCTAGCAACCCCATCCTGTAAAAAGAGCACTGCTACAGAAACTTGAAGCCCTATGTTCCACTTGGGACCGTGAAGGAAATAAAAAAAATTTTTTTAAATATGCTGATCCACACCAACACAAACGAAAACCAAAAACGCTAATGCTTTTAACCGAAACACAAAACAAAAATCTAGCCGTTTACACGTTGATTTAATCTATCTTCAATCGCACGTAATGCCTCTTCACGTCTTGCTAACTGCTCCTGTCGAATATTTGCATTTCTTATTTGTTCTTGTTCTTGTCTACTTAAATCCATTAAAGTAGTTTTCAGTTGGTCTAAAAGATTTTTTAATTGTTCACTGTTTGGTTGCAATTCAGTTATTGTACGCATTTCAAGTTGTGATGCTGATTTAAGTCGATCTATCAACTCCTGATGGTGTTGTTTTAACAATTCAATTTCTTCACTGAAATTAAAAAAAATAATAGAGGAATAACAGGCACGATTTGGAGTAGTTTGGAATTATTTCTCAAGATCATCTGTGACTGCTGCGCTTCACTTTAGCTTATCATTACTGTTATGTTGTCATAGATTTTTAAAATTGTATCACTAACCTTGATAAGGTGGGAGAGTTAGATTTCTAACTGAACAGTTGGGTGGCTCAAGCAAAAAGATTTTTCATCCAAAGGGATGAAACTATTTCGACAGAAGTTAACTTGACGGGGGTCTTAATAGTTGCTACCATTTTTAAGTTTTGAGTTGAATTGTCTTTTCGATTTTGTTTCTAACAGGTTTAGTAATACAGGAAAATTATCCTGTTTGCTATTTTTCAGTCGTGACAATGTATGCCGATGTTATCACTAACATCAACAACGATGCACTGATTGAAACACTGATAACTTATAAGTGTCTGTCTGCTAAAATACATGAAACCATACGCAGTGTCTGAAGAGAGTGGATGGCCAGAATAAGATGTAGTTGGATGAGAAAATGAGATTACTAGACAAAGCTAATTGTTCAAGTAGACTACAATTTAATTAGAAATGTCAAGTTTTAAAGTTTTCCTAACATACAGCAATATTTCAAAGTCACTAAACATATTTCATGGACATAAAACGTAACGGGAAAATCAACAGATAAAATTGGTCATGGGCTGACCTTTGATTACTAATAGATATGACATGAGTTCTGAGTAGAAGAAAATATACGAAAGACTTATTTGACGTTTCTGTAAACCAGCTGCTTATTAGAAGTTAATTGGTGGATGGCGACTAGCAGCGACAGAATCCAGGATGCGCATTTCGTCTTGTTTGGGGCTCGTCATCGGGATGTACCTGCACTCCGCAGTGAGTGATGATGTTCCCACTACCTATAGTTTCAAACGCCAAAGCGTCATCCACTAAACCACTTGAGCCACGAGGGTCACCTCTTGTGCAACGGGTCATATTAATTATTTAAATTCAATTTTAGATTTTACCGTCGATTGATTGTTTCGAATAGATATTAAGTTGTCGTAATAATTTGTATCACGAGGGAATCTGAAGACACTAAACAACAGATTATCAATGTGTACTAGAACCAACAAATTAGCGATGTTGAATTCAAGCGTAAATTTGCAAACAGAGAATATAAACCAATCCACTAAACTTGTGTATGATGAAATGGTGAAACTGTGTGTTATGAATTTTAAACGTCATTTCAGCACACCGTTAGCTTACTAAATTTGGTCTTATTTACAGAATCACATGATTTCAAGTCAACTGATAATCGGAATAATGCTCCTTCGACATGACAATCCTCCATTAAATGTTAAATGAATATCCGTAACTTTGTATTCCGATCTCACAACACACCCAAGTCTGCATTATTAAGCTCTTGCTTAGTAAAGCAATATAGCAGGAATTCCGACCACTTGAAAAAGGCAGCAAAACAAAAATATACTACTAGACAGCGATACTACTTAGGCTTCACTTACATCCAGTAGTCGCAAGTTATACAAACCACGTTATAACCAGCTGGCCTAAACTCAAAAACTCATAAAAACTGTCATTATTTGGCAACAAACGACTTACTTATGAGAGCTTTTTAATTCCTCCAATTCTCGTTGGTGTGTTTGACGAGTTTCATTCAGCTTATTCGTCAAGTCTTTAAGCAGTTGATCACGTTTTTCTTCCATTTGAAGGAGGCGTTCACGATTCTGTGTTTCAAGGAAACTGATTTCTTCTCTTAAACTAAATAGTATGATACAAATTAGAAGTTGTCGGATTAATAGTTACACAACTGTTCAGTTTACATCAGTGTAGTTGAGGAATTATTTCAATTTATGTATTAAAGTAAGATTAGTATTATTAATGTGTAAGAAGAAACTGGAAGAATTTAATTCCCTATTATATAAACTTATTCGACAAAGCACATAGTGATGCATTAATATCTACTCCATGGTGTCTTAAGAACATTTTATTGGCTAATAAACACAAAAAGCTTTACTTATTTACATAGTAAGCTAACTGCACAATAAAAACGTTACGTATTATACATATGTGTATACATGGTCAAAAAGCATAGAAATGTTGACCGAATTACCGGCTTTCCTTACGTTCTGCACCTTCTTTCATCAAATCTAACTTCGTCCTGAAAAAATAAAAAGAAAAGAAAAGTACCATAGACATTCTACTAATCAATTTATGAACAACTGATCAACTTAAGAGTAGAGTTCTCGTATCAACATCAGTCCACAAAGCCGAAGCAGAATGTAACGCCTTTATCGTCTCAGTCTAAAACTCCTCATACAAAATCATTTTCAATCATTCTCCAGCCGATTTTGATCTGTGATGGAAATCACAGATGTTGTTGTTAGTAATCGCATTGAATACAACAAAATGAAACACCTGAAGTATTTTCGCAAGTCATGCTATATAGTCTTTATGAGCTATACCATAATATTATATAATTGGAACACTAATGACAAAATAACAAAAGTAGAATTGCACATATGATGGGAAACGTTGAGTAAAGCACAAACCAAATAATAAAGATAACTGAAGTTTAGCTGTCTTTATTGTACTGTTACCCATTGCTAATATCAACCATCCCAGGTCTTTGAATTTCAGTGCAAAAACAATGAAGTAATCATTTACGGAAGACACTTGCACCATTCTGTTCTACACAAAAATTAACAATTTTTCAACGTTTTTCTCGGGGATGTATTTTCCTGTTGGCTTGTGATGCTTTTGCCATACCACGCACTTAGGGGTAAGTCTCTTGAGTAAGTAAGTTAGTTAGCTAGAATCCAGTTGCCCGGGACAGATTATCCATGTGATAGCTACATTTATTGTGTGAGAGCGAGTGATACTACCCAGTTGTCCAGACTGAAGTGGAACTAGCGAGACTCGAAGCCAGGATTCACTGAAATGATAGGAAAAAATAAGAGTCGAGAAATGTTACTCAACATCCACTTGTAACCATGTGGTTAGCAATAAGTCGCATCTGTTTTGTGTGATACCGTTTGGATGCCCAAACTTCTGAAGGTGAAGTGTGGCTCGAGTCCGTGATCCAGTGGTTGGAATTCGAGAGGTCAAACTAATTAACTACAGTTTCACTACAGGACACATTGATCAAAAGTCTAATGGTGAACGATATCTTTAGCAGTCCGGAATGATGAAAGTTTATCTCTCTTCTTACGTTGATTCCACCTAGAAAACATTTTTCATTTGTAGCTTTTTGTGTCTTAAATGTATCGGTTTCAGAGAATATTTTAGGGTGGTACAATTATAAAACCTTTAAGGTTTCTATGAACGTTCTAAATCTATATGAGAGTATTCAATAACCCTAAGAGTATAATTGGAGTGTTCAAGAGGACACATGACAACTGTTACTCATATAGTTGAGTTGCATACCCAAGCGTGGTATGACTCGGAAGCGTTTGAATTAACTCTCATTGGCTCATGTCGTATCTTCATCTTGACAATAACACTAAGTTGCATCTTGTGTTTGATTTGCCTTCTTTTTAGCCTTACAGCAGTTTACAGTACTTCATTTTTTGATTTGCCCAAGTTTTATTCTTATATCATTGCATTATTCTATATTTCTACTTGATATGTAGACAATAAGTATGGCAACTTGAACCACTGCTCAGTAATGCTAGGTCTTCAGTTGATAGTACCTGTCTGTCTGCGCTAATGAAATTAGAAGCCAATGTTATTGGTATAAGATGCATTCACTTGACTTTATCAGTATTCATTGAACAACTTATTTAGCATAAGATTATTTTTCTATAGACTTTCTACTATCAAACTCCTGTTATTGGTACTACTAATGTAGACCGCTTCAAAATGTATTAATATCTTGTGTCCTGAACTGTTCCGACCAGTTTTCTGACCAGTCTAGTTATACACATGAACTGAATTGACTTGAATATCCAAAACTGATATCACTCACTACGTCGCTTGTAAATCAAGGATATAGTCTATAATGGCAGGTCAGTTCAAACAAGGTTATAAACACATCTTGATGCTGGTTTATTGCAAATTTGGCAACCTCTGTCAAGCAGGATCTTTCGTTATTCATTTTTAGTCATCTGCAATGGCCTACAATATCCTGAAATGTTGAGGTATAATTAACACCGGCTTGTAGCAAGTAGAGTACAATCCATTCACCATTCACCTAATAAATTAACAATAGTTTTGTATATCATTGAAATTATACTTATAGTCTGAACTGGTTAATTTTTCAACTGATTTACTTATACACCGCAGTCGTCTTGTTTATGCACCACTCAGTGTCGCTGGATGTGGAATACACAACAACAGGTTTGTAACGTATTTAATGAAACAGTCGATTGAGTAAATTTTAAGAAACACATCTCCACTTAGTGTAAAACGCAAACAGGAATCCTAAAAGATAGACAATCCTTTCTGATAAAAGAAAAGACTTACTTTGAAGTTTGCTCCAAAATCTGTATTTCTTCACGATGTTGTCGTTTGATTAATTCTAATAGATTCATCAAATTATCACGTTCCATTTCGAGACGTTTAATTTGTGCTTCTGACTCAATAGATTCATAATTATGCTTCTAGAGGAGAGAAAAATTTTTAATATCACAAAGTACACAGAGTTAGTTTTTCAATTGTTAAAAGTTGTCTTTCTGCCTAAGATTGATTTATAACCCAATGATGAACATTTTAATTGAATTTTTTTAGATTTTCCCGTCGATTGGTTGGACCGAAGTGCTTGGTCTCAGGTTGACATGTCGGCTTCTTGAGACCGAGCACTTCGGTCCAATCAATCGACGGGAAAATCTAAAAAAATTAAATTAAATTAATATGATCCGTTGCACAAGAGGTGGCTCTCGCGGCACGAGTGGTCTAGTGGATAACGCTTCGGCGTTTGGAACTACGGGCACTGGGTTCGAGCTTCGGTGGGAATATCATCACTCACTGCAGAGTGCAGGTACATCCAGTGACGAGTCCCAAATAGGACGAAATTCGCATCCTGGATTCCATTGCTAGTCACCATCCACAAATTAAATTCTAATGATGAACAATTTACCGTCAGATATCAATCGACCTTTAAGTCAACCCTAACCCTGCCACCATCTCACTAGAAAGTAATTCGTTTGAAAACAAATGTCGTGTTGGCTTTCTGAGTCAGATAAGCAGTAACATATATGCATAGCAGTCAAAATTCCGTCTTTTGTGAAGTTCAACAAATGTATGAAAAGTTGAATGAATTATTGCGGAAGTGATTTCATGATGATAGTTTCATTTCATCCGGATTAGATAAAACGTTGACAAAAATCAAGTATTATTTTAAGAACTTTAAGCACTTGACTATTATTGCTGAGTGTCATAAGATTTTCCCAAAATCATTCACAATAATGTCCAGTACTTGATAAGCAGAAGCTTTGTGCATTTCACACTAACTTCTGTATTGCGATTCGACTGGGCTAACGAAGCCAAATTGTGGAACCAATCGTTATTAAGTAATTCAGTGATCAGTAAGATTGTGTGGAGAGGCAGCTTTTCAGAAACTACAAACACTTATTCTCCATTACGAATTTGAATCCATAAAACAGAATAACTGTATGGAGGAGTCGGTTTAAAGCTCGTTAGTTGCTTTTTTTTTCCTTCACGTTCCCCAGTGGAACATAGGGCTCCAAGCTAGTGGCTCGAAGTTTCTGTAGCAGTGTTTATTTATTTTTACAGGATGAGGTTGCTAGCCTCATGCCTAACCTTTCCTCTCCACCAGCATTATTTCTGGCTTAGGGAGGTAAAGGAGTGCGTCGGCCGGGAATCGAACCCCGGACCATGTGCATGGTCGGCCAGCGTCCTAACCGCTATGCCACCGACGCATAGTTGCTTTGAATGATTTGTGTTATATTACCAATGATGAATTCAGCTTAACACAGCTAACGCGTTTACCGACTTCCGTTGTCTACCCAGCCAGTATTACTGTGACCTTAGGGATTTCATACTTTTTATAGATGAGGCTTTGGGAGATTTTAGATAATTAATCACTTCGTATGAAATATGCACTAAAAAGAATATGTACAACTTACTTTTTCAAATGGTGATTGAGAACGCAAATGATCAATATTCAGTCTGTCAAAGTTATTTGGTTGAGGTGTTACTGAAAATAGAAAGAAGTAAATACAAGGTAAACACTGAATTGCCCTCTACAATAACTGACTTGAAATAACTTACATATACCTCAATAATCCCATTGACACAAACTAATGACTTAAGCGACGAAACCTATGAAATCTGAAATAACTGTTGACTGTCCATTAAACTGTACATATATACATATATATACCACTCCCCACAAGCTTATGCGCTAAGTGTCAAATTTATTGAAATCAAGGAGAAGTAACTTTAACCTTATATCCTCAGCACAACACTCTACCAAGCTTTGCTTGCTTAAACGAGCAAAAGATACTGCAAGCAGTCCGATTTTCAGTGCATCTTTTTTCTTCATAAATAATTTTCATTTACAAATGTAATTGGAACAGTTAAAAGAAGTCAGAGATTTACATTCATAGAATACGTTAATCTGCATGAAATGAAGTACTGTACAATAAGTACTAAGAATGTGTGATAAGTTGCAATCAGAAAAGCTGAATGGGAACATAATAAACTACTGTGGGGAGAATAAAATTACTGGAACTCAAATAATGTACAGGTCTGAGCGCGAACTAAAATGCTCATATATCGTTTAGCATCTGTGCCTCTGATAATCATTATTATTCAAAACACTAAACTCATATAACAAGAGTGTTGGAAATATGCCACATAAACTAATATGACAATAACAAGAAAGCTAATTAATGGCAGACTAATGAGAGCAGAATTTCTAATAATATACCTTTAGGAGGGAGCGTTCATACTATTTACCGAAAGCAAATAAGCACCAGATGATATATACTTAGCTTCGATGGTTCAGTTGTAGGGTGGTCATGAACCACGCTACACCTGCACTGGGCTCAGTTTTCGGTCGACTCACTCCTAAGCCTCGCTTAACCAGTAGTAAAGTGAAAAGGTTGGGCATGAGGCTAGCAAACCCCGTTACTGAAACGTGAAAAGCGAAGGGGTGAGAGAAAATATCTCTATTCACTAGGACAAACAGGTCTAAAGACTGAATTGATGCCACGTTTTGTTTACTTTAACTATCCCGATTAACTTCTGTTTAAGTCCACACCCAGATAACTTGTATCGATGATATACGCCACCTGGATAAGTGTAAATAGTCCTAGAAATGTTGAAGATTAAATAAATCCAGAATAACACTTTTAGATTATTGAAAAAACTCATTCTTTACTTGGAATTCGAGTAACTGACTCCAAAGATGAAGGGCGACGTGTATGCGGTCGAGTGGCCTTTGTTGGCTTAGAGTTGTCAAGAGATTTTCTGTCTGACAAAATGTCAAGAATCTGATTCGCAGAGCTTTAAAATCAAAGAAAAGAAAACAGATAGACAAACTACAAATCAAAGTGGACGAAGGCGCTTATGCAATACGCACTTAACTACATTTGGAAAGTAATGTGTTCACTTTACGCTGAAAATAGTATTATAGCCGGTTAAATTTCTGCGAATACCTGTAGGCTTTTGAACTACACGATTATTCGTATCTGTTATCCTACAGTTAGTGATACCTACTGGTTACCCAAACCTCGCTAAATAAGGTGAAGTTCAGTCCAGTAATCCACTGATTAAAAATCAGTTAGCCGGTCCAATGAGCTACTACGATCATGACGCTCCAGTATTCTTAATATTTGGAAGAATATCCCAACAAAACGTCTGCGTTTTTAAAGGGATATTAACCAAATCAGATTATAAAAAATTTGGTTAAATCGGTAAAAAGACTTACACTAACACATTTTCTGTAAACTCTACAGATTTTATAATGTTAGCGTACCTCACTGTTAGAGTTTAAAAAGCGATAGGCTACTAGAGTAGTTGAAATTTGAAAACGCAGTTCACTAATGTTTTGAAAAAAACATGATATTGAGTTGGAAAGTGAAGCCATCTCCTTTACATAAAAATCTACTTGGGGACGGTTCACACAACAATTGTTCCGTTCGCTAATTAATAAAAGTGATTAAGGCCTGTTACACAACTCTAATTTAACTAAATGAAATGTATTATATGCCTTCAGGTGCCTTTTTAGGGCATCAGGAAAATAGATTTAGCCTTTTAATAATAAATTAAACTAAATTATATGCATACTTAAATATTTAGAAACCTAACCTTTCATCGTCATCTGGAAAGGAATCTCTAAATGACAATCTTCCAAATTCTGATGAAGTTGGAGCTGTTTGCGGTCTGCTTAGGTTGGAAACATTACTTTCAGTTTTCTTCGACACTGATTTATCAATAGCAGACTGATCCTACATTCACCAAAAAAGAACATAGAAAATATTTTTCAAATGAAATGAATTGAGGTGAATGTAATAATCCATATAAAAACTTGCAAGGAAGTAAATTAGTCCATATTATCGCATAAAAAGTAACTCAACAGAAAGAGATTGATACCAAAAGAATAATAAAAGTGAAAGCATCATTAAGAAAACCCTAAGGTCTATGATAACGTTGCCTAGTTTACTAATATACTAGTTTATTAACCGGGGAGGTTGGGCTTACGGCTAGCAACTCTACCCCAGATAATCAATGCAACCACCACAAAAACTCAATAGCACAGGAAAAACAAACTTAATTTTCACCAGAATGATGCGGGCTGAACGAGATGTGGCACCGTAGTTTTGTGTTAGTTATGCTGTCAGAAAACAAAGAGGTGTAAAACAGTCAACCAGCAAGAAGTGTTCACAGACAGTAACTGACTAACTAAGTTTCAAAACAGATTCTCACACGAAAATATAGCAGTTAAAGTTACCACACTTCATATCGTATACAAGCCTAGGACAAAATGTAGACGGACTACAATGAGCGAAAATATACGGGAGAAAGAATATGCATTTGCATATTAGTGAGAATTTGATGGATCAGGGAGTCCACAAACAGTGAGGTCATTTGTGCCATTGGGAACAATTTTGAGCCAGTAATCTTCAAATGTTGGGTCTGCATACAGCTCCCCATTTAACTCAAAACAGAAGTCGTGGACCTAATGGATTCATTACCTTGAATGGTCTGATATGAATTTGGCATTGTGGTTTCTAAAGACTGCTGGTCTTGTCGGTAGTGACTTTAGCAGAACAGCACTGACACTGACAAGAAGGTGAAGACCATTTGTAGAGGTAAGTAATTCTCTAAAATTATAAAACTACTAGAGCAAAAAGATGGGGGATGAATAATAAGGAAAGATTGATATGATTACGGAAGTACGGGAAGTTATTATTTCCCAGCTTCCCACACCAGTCTACTGAATTTAGGAATTTTAAAGAGCTTAGATAAATTCTAAACTCCAGTGAGGCAATACAAAAAAACAGACAATGTTGAAAATGAACACTTCTAACATCAAGAATAGTTTTAAGTGAGGTTGCACAACACAGTTGCAGTTCAAGAAAAAATTAAGTAAATAATTATAAATAGCGATCAAACCTCCTAGCAGTTTATGATATTCTAAATAAGGAAGTATAAGCATAAGTAACAATTAAACTGGGACATTTTCACGCCTAATGTAACAAAATATGTGCATAACCCAGAAAAAAAAGAAACGTATTTCAAAATCTTAAAAACAAACGCAGGTTTGTCTAACTCACACGGTCAGAAGAATCAGAAATTTTACTGTTGGTCATTTCCGGGAAACTGGTATCTACGTCGTCCGAAAATCGAACCGTTCTTTTGGAAACTGACGAGCCAGGACGTTTCTTATGTTCATTGGCTTGTGCAGAGTCCAAAAAAACCTCAGATTTTTCTGTGTTTAAAGTATTACATTCTAGAAATTCATTGAGAAGACCCTATGAAACTACCTTTGAAAGGATCTATTAAGGCATCGAGAATATTTTTTGGTGATTTTCCTTGACTTTTAGGTCGATCCGTCCTTCCAGAGAATTCCAATGAGGAGTTTGTATCGCCATTCAGCTTGAAAACTGAACAATAAGAAATTTACTTCACACCACACCTGATTTCTGATTTCCTAAATCATTTTTCTGGTCAAGTGAATTCAGTATTTCATCGAGATCATCTGAATACAGATTAAATATGTAATTGCATGAATTACCATCTTCGATTTTTTTCTTACGGTCAAACTACGTGACAAAATTATTAAATATAATTCAAAGCTTACAGAAATATCTTCTTCTTCAATTTCTTTAGCAAGATCACTGTAAAAGGTAGACATATGTTATTATAGCAACCGTATAAATAAAACTGTACACTGCGCCATTACAAGTGCGTTAACCTTGAGTACACTAATTAGGATTCCTTAATTATAACTATTTTGTAATGCTCACAATTCAAGAACAATAGTTGCGATTCCTATACATACGTCAAGAACTTTACATAAAAACACATATTATACATGCCTTTTGTATTAGTATGGTATTATCCACCTAGGTTTCGAGTGGATAATATAGATTTAGAAACACATTTCAGTTTCATCTTGTTCTTGAGCTGACTCCACAGTTTACCATAGGTACCTATCTCGTTCTTGTGCGATCTCCTCTGTGTCACTTTTGAACGCCTGTCTCGTTTCCCGTTCGGCTATCACTCGAGGGCCTGTCGTGGAATAAAAGAATGTCTTTTTAGTGTTCAAATCAAACCAGCAGCAGTTAGAAAAACGATCAAACATAGCGTTACTAGAACTAGCCAAAAACACTCTTGAGTGTGAATGCGAAAATTTGAAATATTCTCCGAGTCTGTGCTGAGCCTAAAAAGTAACATCAAACGGATTATAAGAAATGTCCAAAGATCGATCGCGAATTTAGTCCTTATAATCTGCTATCTAAACGCTTGCACGAATTCATTACTCACTGAATGCAGGGTGACTCAGCGAATAATAACATATAAAGTGATCTGCATACATGCCAGCTTCTAAACACCTTTACATCCCTACATCCTTAAGGGAATTTTGCGGTGTTTCTTCATGAGGAAAAATATAATATTCCCTCGGAACCCATTTCATAAAAATTAGATGATTAGGCCTAACAACTCATAAGCCTTCCTCACTGCCTCGTGCGATTCAAATCAAATTTATCGCTGCTTGTCAGTAGCCTACTATGACAATCGTACTAGTACTTGGTCGGTCTTCTTTGTTTTTACCGGGGTCAGCGACACTATGAATACCTACATACCTCCTGGTTGCTATTTAACAGTAGGCTGATTTGCGAATTACTCTGCTGCTGCGCTACACTGACATTTATTCTTTTCTTCTGACCTTATCACACTTGGAAATTATTAAATCTAGATTCTGAATGGTATCTTCTTTTTCGTAACATTTCCATTTCTCTTTCTCTAAGATGAATGACAATTTTCGAACATCGCATCTTTTCCAATTCTTGAGCTGAGTGCCTTAGCTGCGAAACTTTCATTTTTCTCCCAACAGTAACTTCAGAGCAGACTTAGATATCATGGGAAATTATTTGAACTCCCTGTAATTGAGACAACTGTTTCCATTGACGGCCTTGTTTGTGTCGTTTTGCTAATATGCATTGCTATTGTTGATTAGTTCCGGGTGGAATTTAAATTCTTCTCTAATGTGAGGTATTCTTTATTGTTTGATGAATCTGATCCAAGTCAGTATGCATTCTGATTGCATATTTGTCAGAGTACCAGGTCTCTTTAAAGTCGTCTAATTGTTTGTGTCGTCCCGTTTATTTTGCGGTTTCCCGGTCAAGTAGGTGTCCGTGATTGTCTGTATGCATTGATGCGAAGGAATATATATCATATCTAGATAGTTTATGTTCTTGAATTCGAATCCAAAGGAGACGTCCACACTGCTTTGCGAAGATGAAATTTATTTTGTAGACGGCGTTTATCTTTTCATCTTCTCCTGTTGTTTCTTTTCGTCTGGATGTCATTAAATAAATTCATTGCTTTGTTTTGTGTGTGGTAAGTATTCCTAATGGTGATGTATTTCTGCAATTAATTCAGAAGTACTCTTTGCATATGTTGGATCCGTCTACTTGTGGATTCTGTAAATGGTTAAATGCTGGTAGTTTCAGCATTAATCAAATGTATTGCTTTGATCTGAAATTCGTACGGCGTATGGAAATGGTGGCAATGAATAAGCACCATTTTTGACAGAAAAGGACTGGCGACGCTGATAAGTGAATACTATTCGTCAAAGGACATGTTAACATACAAATAGAATAATCATGGTAGACATTACTCTGATTGTGTGTAACCAGATTTGAAAAAGACTAAGATACAAGGAGATTTTGTGGAATAAGCCCACGTGTTAACAATCTGGGATTAGACAACAAGTCTTTAACATGACTGGGCCGAAGTCATAAGACACTTTAAACACCTCTATCAAGATTAATATGCAACTAATATTTTTGTTTCGCCTATACCCTTAGGAAGTACTAAGTAGTACGGCCAGATAGTAGTTGTCATAATAAAAATTGTAATGATAACGGCAGATAAAGAAAAACTCACCCATATGGAGAAAAAGGGGGAAGAGAACGAAAATTATGAAGGTAAAGAGATACGCTACCAAGGGAAATTGAAAGAGACAACTTTCTCCTTTTCTAAGCAAAGATTTGGTCATTTTATTCAGATGGCGTAAACTTTTACGAGCCCAAGACACATTTTATTACTTAGCTTGCTGTCAGCAGTAGGACTCCTATTCACTACAATAGTATTATCGCATTTTATTGAATAATGCATCGTTGGGCTCCTTTGCATGCCACTATAGATAACGAGTACCCTTCTGGAACGTTCCGCAATTAGTTGTGTTCTCTGAGCTGGTGGGTTTAATTGAGGAGGTTCCGTGGTCTTTCTGGACAACATCTTCAACATCTTTGTTCTGGGACGTTGTCTGTCAATACTAACCGACGGATACTTAGGTCATCTGCGTATAGACCATTGAGGGAATCAGAGATAACTCACCGATATACAAAATAAATAGAAGAGGTCCGAGTTCCATGCCTTGTGGCACTCCGCCGCGCACCGTTGTCCAGGAGGAGAGTTTCGAGTTGATCCTAACCCTCTGTCTCCTATCCATGAGGAATAACTTAATCCAGTTTAGTAAGCTACATTTTGTACTAAGACTTTCCAGCCTCATGAGTAGTGTTTTGTGAGGAGCTTATCGAAGTCTTTGCTGAAGTCGATAAAGACGACGTCAGCGGATCTTCTGTTGTCCCTTGATTTGACACAGCTTTCTCTAGCAGTGAGAAGATTTGACAGGCATGAGAGGTTTCCTCGGAGGCTACTATATGCTCGTTTTCCATATATGCCATGATGCTTTTCTTGATGATTCTTTCCAGTGTCTTGATTAAAGTGCTGGTCAGATTAGCAGGCCTATAATTTGAGGGGTTTTTCTTGATCCTCCTGTGCGGATGGGGGTTACAATGGCGTCTTTCCAGTCGCGCGGTAACACTCCATTTGGGAGAGAGAGCTTGAAGATCGTGGTCAGTGGGACGACTATGTGAGCTGATAGCTCTTTGAGAAGCCTTGAATGAATATTGTCAGGACCCATTGATTTCCCTGTGTCTGGTTTCATTAGGCATTTGGGCACTATGTCTTGGTCGATGTCAATGGAATCTATTCTGTGTTCCTCTGATGCAGCCGGAGGTGATCCTATAGGGAGTGATGACTCCTGTGTAAACAAGCAGTCGGCCATTGCTTCTGCTTTTCCTTGATCTTCGATTGTGTCGTCGTCAATAGGCAGGTTTGGGACGCCATTAGATGTCTTATTCCTGAAGTTCATTTAAGAGGAAATTTTCTTATGTTGTGCTGTTGCATTTTGAGCCAGACGTACTTCGAACTTCACCCTTGATTGGCGGATTTTTGCAGCAGCTTTGTTCCTACCGATGTTATATAATCTGCTGGCCTCAGGAGTCTCAAGTGTGGCGAACAGGTTCCAGCATTTGTGTTTACGTCTGAGTAACTTACGAATATCTCGGTTTATCCAAGGGAGGGCAATGTTTCCGATCCTTCGGGAAAGACCAAGGGACGAAGGGTGCAGTCACTTGGGCGTAAGGTTGTTTAAACTTGTTCCATGTGACTTCTGCTTGGGACTTTAGGTTAAGTTACCAGTTCACTGAGTTGGCTGCTGAGACGATCGCATTTATACCAGCTTTCCAAACGTTTGATCGAGCTGGGATTTCGGCCCTTGGTGCTGTTGCTGTGAACTTGAAAGTGAGCGGAACACTTCTTCCTAAAGGAGGAAGATGTTGTATGAGGTCCACATCCCTATCGTGGAAGAGGTGAGGAGGAGTGCTGTGAGTCATAGCGAGTGGGCTTAATGATATGTTGGACTAGGGCTGGCGAAACGATAGATTCCAGCAATTTATGATCAAAGGAGTTGTCTGAAGATGGCGTTGTAAGCCTCGTTCAGTCAACTGTTGGGGTGTCGAAGTCAGCGACTACGAGACCTCGTTATTTTGAGGCCCAGTAGCCTAGCTTCTTTATTAGGAGGTCATCTACACTGCAGTCAAGACTGAGTTATACAGCAATGAGGTAAATGTCCTGGCCATTGCATTTAAGCCTTCAGCGTATAAGTTCGCACGATTCACTTTCGTGAGCAAGTGCTTTGATGTTACGCACGGTTAAGCATTTCTTGAGGTAGATGACTACGCCACCTTCTTTGCGGTTTAGTCAGTCAGGCTTTTGGCCGATTCTATATATGCTGTGTGTTGTTATGCCTGATACTGTTTTGGCAGTAGCTCATCTGAAAGGGGCTTGGAAAAGCTAGGATCATGCTTGAACCTGGCTTTCTGCGAGAGAGCACATTACGCCATTCATTGTATGGGTTCAGCGGATTTCCTGATGTTATCTTTCCATATAGCCTATAACTTTGTAGACGTCTTGATGATGGTAGCAACATGGCTTAATTGCAGCTCTCCAAAACCTGTTAGATAATACCAAAGAATGGATCTTCACCGTTAATTTAGTGAAGTGTGCAACCATGTATATTGGAAATGCTAATGTTGATGTATAGTTCGTAGACAGAAAACGAATTCACTTAGTCAAGACGTAAATGAATCTCTCTGTTACTGCAGTTTATGAACTAAGAACTAGTACTCAATGTCGGGCCATGTTAGCTGATAATTCTCAGATTCTAATGGACAATACACAGGGACTTTACAGTAACCGCCTGTAAAATGAAAATTTAAAGAGACTAGACGCATGCAACCAGGTATCTAAGAATCTCTCAAGAGGGACTGAAACCCTCCAGGAACACTTTAATGGCAGTCATGAATGTGATTCAAGTTATGAATGTTCTATCATCCTGGGCCCCACTCGACAGTTACTATAACTTATTATATTATAGGTGGAGTGTAGATCCAACGAGGATATTCAATATTTAAAGGAGTGATTATGAACCCTGTGTGTATTCTTCTTTTCGTTCCATCCATTTGGAGTATTTCAGGGGGATCAGGAGAATTTTTCAGATGCCCAGGATAATCTCAGTACTTATGGTCTACTGGTTCTCCTACCCAGTCATTATCTCTTGGTTTCGTGAAGGTATTAAACAGGTACACATAAATATCCCGAGAGGATTAACGTGGGCTCAAATACTTCTTTCTTGGGCTAAAACTTCTCCCTTGAAAAAGGCATTGAGTATTGAAATTTGTCGAAATATTGGCGGTCACATTATATAAGGCGTCACATGTGAGGAAATGTTTTCCGAGGCTTTTTAAATAGGGTTTTAATGTTATGATATTTTCCCCTTCTAAAATGGCCAGGTTAAACTTTAAGCGACGTTAGGTATCATATTAGAGTGCGACAGCACCTATGACCTTGAAATGTTCAGTGAGAAAGTGAAACATGGTCAATAATTTTGTATTCATTCGGTTACTTCGTAAGGCTTGGCTTTTCATATTCAATTGCTTCTTGCCTATGGATTCGGTTTATCTAAATATTTGTTAAAATCCCTGGTTAAAAGCTCGAACACTACTACTGATATGTACGTTAAACTGCAGTTTAACATGTTTCGGTCGGTCGGTTTTCGACATAGAACTTTGCACATATGTGCGAATAGTAGTAGCGAATATTTCAAAAACCAGTTTGATTTACTGCAGGTAACCCTTATAGTTATGACATTTTATACTGACTTTACCTCGCAACTGATCTATTTGTATTTAAAAATCCTGAGCCTCGAATGTAGTTGATCATATCCTTAGAATCCCTTTCACATGCAGAATTATATGTCCCTCCATTCTACAACCACTTCACCTTTTCGTCGTAACTGACATCAGAAAACTGATAGAGTAATGTTCGCACTCATAGCTGACCATGTTTCTGTAGTTGCAGCAACCTACAGTTTCATATTCTCTACTCTAAGTAGTCCATCGCGTTAAATTTATTTTGAGTCATCTCAGTTTAAGATTGGTCTCAGTAGCATTAGCGTCTAATAGCTCACACTTTAAGTAGTTGTAAGTTATTTTGGACGAAATTGACTCCCTACTGTTGTTAGTTCTGGATGTAAAAATTCTTTCAGTCCCATTCATCCTTTAAAGTCTTCCAAATTAATATACAAATTCATTTATCTGTTTTAGGTCCGTCATACTAGATGACTTTTATGTCAGAGAAAGTTGTGACTCAGGTTTCATTAAGGAGATTAATTCAAAGATGAGAGTTCCTGATAGAATATCACTAGATCCAAGTAGTTTATCACGATTGAGTGCACCGTCCATTCCCACTGAAAATGACAACATGAAGGTACCAGAAAGAATTGTTATGTCTGCTGCTAACAATCAATCAGCTCCCTCAATAGCTTTTAATCGACGTGGAGGTTGGTTATTATACAATTTTTTTCTGTATAAAGTGTGTTTAAAGTTCAGTCTGAAAGACATTCATTTGATATAAGACACTAAAGCACTGTTTTTCTATTTATTCCTTTACGTTCCCAGTGGAAAATAGGGCTTCAAGCTAGAGGCTTGAAGTTTCTGTAGCAGTGGCGTTTATTTTTACAGGATGGGGTTGCTAGCCTTATGCCCAACCTTCCCTCTTTACCAGTCTTGTTACTGACTTAGCGAGATAAATGAGTGCGTCGGTGGGGGATTGAACCCCGGACCACATGCGTGATTGGCTAACATCTTACCGCTGGGCCACCGACACTCTAATGTAAGAGTAGAATTCGGTCACTGTGATAGTATTAATTAATTATGATTAATTAACAGAATATTATTTATTACTAATAATACAGTGTTAATTAGTTATAATTCATTAATACTCATTCATTAATACATCACAGTGACCAAATTCTAATCTTACATTAGAGATTTTAATTACACGTTATTACTATTAGGATTCTCTGGAAGGAGTCTCCGCCTAATTCTTTATTTTTATTTCCATGCCAAAACGGATATTTTTCGCTTACTGCATACATCATACAGTAGAACAGTATTATTTTCTGGATAGTACGGCTAACAGAATTCGTTGTTCATAAGCATATCAGTTATGGTTACACAACTTATGAACCCGGTATTTTTGGCTCTCGCTCTTCACGAGTACGAGTAGTAGAGTTTTTCAGATATCTGGGACAGGTGTTGAATCACTCTTATTGCATTTTTTCTTTTCATTAGGTTTTTGTTTGATTATTATGTATGGCATATCTCTTTGCGTCAAAATCTTAACGATTTTGCGTTTTACAGAAGTCCACTTCTATAGTCGATTATGAATCGTATATCTACAAGTCTCTGTTTCCTTGGTTCCCAATATTTTGACATTTCCAACTGATTGAACTGCACAACACTAGCTAAACATTCAGATATTTCATGGGTTAATAGCATATCTCAGTTTTTTGCACCCCTAACTTTCCTGAGTTGCATTCGAAGTTATCCTGTGAATGACAGAAGAAAATATCATTTTTTGTGAATTTTCACTAAGTTTAACTAGTGCTTTATTGTATGAATGTGCACGATTTACCTGCTAATATTTTCCAATTCACCAGAGTTTCTACTTGTCATATGAAAATAAACATAATCGTTGGGAGCATTTTATACAATGTAACTCATTCTAAACTATACAAAGTGCCTGCAATATTTGCAATCAGCTCGCTCCTTAGAATTACGATATTGCCGAAAATGTAATCAGTTTCTAGAAATTTGGACAAGAAAATGGCACCAATTCATGGAACTTTTTTCTGTTGCTCTAAGTTACATGGAAGGATTCAGGTTATTTGAATAATGTCCCCGTGGTGATCGAAATCATATAATGAACATTCTTAATCAAACGATTGGGAATCATTCGTGATTTCACGTTTAACTGTATGCAAGGAAGGATGATACGGGTTGATGAAGTTCCTGTGGTTTTACTTGAAATTTAAGGTGAACATTTTTTTCTCTTTTATTTCCATTAAATCAGGGGCGTTGTCGTATGCTTATTTGTGTGTGCGTGTGTTTGTGCGACTTTTAATACCTCTTTAGTCGCTCAAATACACCACTGCAAACTAAGATTATATTACCAAGTCTTCGTCTTACAGCTATTGGTCTGTAATCATCAGGACCAATAATACAGTTGGGATGCAGTCACTTCGACTGTTAGCTATTCACCAAGATAGTTGTGGATATTAGTTTATCGAGCATGGGACAGAATAATGGTATTGGAATTGGTTCAATGACATCGAAGCTCAGGACTGCTGACTAGAGGCAGTCGGCAATGTATTCTGGTCTCGAGTTTGTTTTAGACGCATTGCTTGCATCAAGGTCGTAGATATCAGATATAGATAGATAGCTCATATTATTTTCTGTCAAAGGTTAAACACAACAGTATTCTAATTCCTTGTCATATTTTATATTGGAAACCGCATTGTGTGTTTTTAGCGTTAATTGAGTAAGCGTGGTGTATAGAGTCTAGTCTTGGTGCATTTCAGGGACATAGCTCACAGGATTGTGTCAATTTTTTCGTGTCCATTTTTTTTCAGACGATCTTATCGATAACCTCGAGTCGATTACTCATCAACAACACGCCTTGGAACCACTTCCCAGTTCTCTAGTCTTAAATGAAATCAATTATCCTGATCTAGAAAGATTAAATATTGAAAAAAAAGAAAAAGAAAAAGTTGAAGAAAAAGAAGTAGCACTGATTTCTGCTCCTGTAAATGAATCTCAGTAAGAATAACCTTTTTCAATATATTTACTTGTGTAGACCTTTGCTTGTTTTCATTTTATGTTATTTGTTAAAGTAGATTTCTCTAATTTGTCCAAGTGACTATGAATGAATGAATTAATTAATAAGGATTTTTCTTTGTCTGATATAAAAAGCAATGTACACCCCCGCATGTCTCTGCTAATTAGTCAAAATACGCTGATGACGTTGGAGACACACTGACTGTCTTAACTAAGTATAAAGATACACTACTACAAAATCTTATCTCACTGAACTTAAGTCAATTTATACTATGAGAGATTCAGTTATGTCTAGAAGAAAATGCTAGACATATTTTAATATATCAAAGAGTTGATGATGATGATGATGGAAGACGATTGATCTGGTTAACTGAGTGGAATAACGTTTTACTTCATACTTTTGTGTTACAAATGATATTACTGACGAAAAACGTGTCACATGATTAAGCTAAGATGATAGAAAAGTTTTCAGATGGGCAATAATCAAACTTATCTATTCAACACTAGAAAATTTAGACTACATAGATGATGTATAATGTAATGTTACACACGAAGTCAAAGAACGGCAAGCAAAAACCAACAGGTTGGCGAAAGAAGCAGGGACCACAGGACTACAAGTGTGATCATAGAGAAGACGGGATTGATGAAGATACTTTACCAACAATAACAACAACAGCAAGCACCAATCTTCCAATCATCTAGACAGCATCGTTCCAACTACAGGCGACACTACGAATGAGAATGTCAAAGCCAGCATCGGGAAGGCGAGACAGACCTTGGTTAATCTGAAATCAGTTTGGAAATCTACTTCATTGAGCATAGAAAGAAGAAGATTCAGATTTTCAACACTAGTGTTAAATCAAATCAGCTCTTCTATAGGACTCAGAGACTTGACGTGTCACCGAAAGCATTTCCAACAGGCCTCTTCGGAGTTGTTTTTTTATCAACAGTTTGCTTCACTCTATACTGAAGATCAAATGGCCAGAAAAGTTACAGGGAATCCTGCAGACAAACCAACTAAGAGCCGATTGCCCAACAAATATGCCGAATAAAATGGAGATGGGTTGGACACACGCTGAGGAGACCGTAAAGTGAGATCGCGCGTTAGCCAGACTATCGCTCGAGTGGAACCCGAACTGGCTGTAAAGGGAATGCCGAGAAAATACATTGCACTGATTAAGGCACTCTACTCGTACTCATGCAGCCAGGTGAGGCCTTATGGCGAGTTGTCATCTGAAGTAGTGACGACTAGTGGCGTCCGTCAAGGATGCCCATTATCCCCATTCCTATTCAACTTCATCATAGATGTGCTAATGGACTTAAACCTAACTCACTTCAGAGACTCAGGGATTGACTTGTTACCAGGGGATAATCTCGTCGACTTAGAATATGCGGATGATGTAGTCCTTCTAGGCGAGGACGCTGACAAAATGCAGAGTCTACTGAACAGATTGAGCAACAATCTTCGTATGTTTGGCATGCGATTCGCCCCTGTAAAATTTAAGATGATGCTGCAGGATTGGACTTCACCGACCCCTAGATTAGAAATAGGAAGTGAAGTGGTAGAGCACATTGACCGCTTCACTTACTTGGGAAGTACCATCAGCCCCAACGGGTTGCTCTCCGACGAAATCTCAGCACGAATACAGAGGGCTAGTTTCGCATATGCCAGTTTACGCCGTCTCTGGTGTAGACGCGATATCCGACTATCGACCAAAGGGCGTGTGTACTGCTCAACAGTCCGCTCCGTCCTCCTTTATGGCTGTGAGACCTGGTCATTGAGAGCAGAAGACATGAAAAGATTAGCTGTGTTCGATCATAGGTATCTGCGTTCTATCTCCCGCGTGAAGTGGTATAATATGGTGAACAATATTGAGGTGAGGCGGGTAAATCAGTCGACTAGACTGTGAAATTACATCGACTGAGATGATTAGGACATGTGCTACGTATGCCTACTCATCGCCTTCCTCGACGGGCAATGTTAGCTGATATAGGGCCAGGCGGGAAAAGAGCTAGCGGCGGTCAAACGAAAACATGGCACTAGTCAGTGAAATCCATAACAGTTGGCTTAAGCCACGTAGGAAGGTGTAGACTTCCTGGTTGGGGTCCTCGGGAGGGTGAAAACCAATAGTTGGAAACAATTGGTGACATGGCTCAAAATCGTTCTCAGTGGCGCAGATGCATCCACTCTTTGTGACTTATGATTTCCAATTAAGCTGTTTTGTTCTTCGTTATTACTACTCCTTTGTCTCACACCTCTGTTCACTGTCTATATAATGCATTTCTTCTACTTTCTTCTCTTGCTTTGTGTGGTACATGGAGTGTGGCGACTTGAACTGCCGCACATATGTGCAAAGTTCTATGTCGAAAACCGACCGACCGACCGGAACCCGAACGAGAGACGACAAGTTAGGAGTGGGTGGGTCCAAGGTTGACATGGAGGGGATTATGTGACCAGAAGTTGAAAGATTATGCGCAGTCTCGGGGCCAACTGAAGAGAACTGCAGAGAACAGGACAAGATGGAGATGTGCCGTTGAAGCCCTATGCTCCACTCGGGACGTAAAGGAATAATACTGATAATATTCAATACAAATGTAAAGCAACCGAAAAGTTGTACAATTTTCGAATAACCTATTGGGAATATTCTTAAAATACTTTTTGTGTAATACTTACCAACATCTATCCTCCCCAGTTTCTTTATCTGGTGTAGTAACTTTCAGAAGCCACGCATAGATTACTGAATTTCTGTTGGATATTATTTACATTTTTTTTTGTATATCTTCGAGAGTGACCTAATGCCAATGAGGGATAGTGCTTCCAGTAACCAGTTGCTCACGTAATAAGTTGGCTATTATATTCTTACTTGAAACATCATATACAAATGATTTCTGCCTATCTCACATTTCAGCTCAATCAGTGAATTTTGAAAACTAATTAAACGGATTAAAAACATAAGCTTATCTAGAGGTTATTTTCGTATTGAAGTCACGTTTTATTCGTGGACTGCTTATTAAGCAGTCTGTTATGCTGACTGTTTTGTGAACTAAATCTAGAACATACAAACTCTACCTCTCGTATCACTTGACATTATCAAAACTCAATAACTAACATGTCTAGCGACATATGGCGGCGTTTGCAGTGTTCTTCCTATCTTACAAAGTTCAGTGTGTGATGCCAAAGTCTGGCTATACAGCTTAAATGGTCCACTTTGAACCAGTGGTGGTGAGATTCAAAACTACCTACTTCAGACACATCCACCTATTCTCACATGTACAACTCTAGTAGGTGTATCAACTTAAGCCCCATGGTAAGTGAATTTCGCTGTGTTTTAAGTTACGTGCTTCGTGTTTTAAGTAGTGAGTGTTACTGACATTTTTATTTTTGTTTTTCTTTGGAAAAAAACAAGGACTCGAACTGTGACAGCTCAGTCACCTACACCATCGACGTCGAATGCAATAATTGAATGTGCGCCTAGTCAAACAAATAATTCAGCATATGGTAATCAGCTCAATTCTGTTGATAGTAGACGAATTCGAATTCTGGAAAATCGTGTTCTCGAGGTCGAACTTGAGTTATCTAGACATAGATTTATTGGTAATATATTTTATATTACACTAGGCGGTTACCTTATTTTAAAGTTTCTCCGATCATTATTGCCTTAAAACTTGCTCTTGTTAATTTTTATTAGTGAATATAATGTATATTCTTTCTTGTTGTGCAGAGTTACTTTTTGTTTTTAATGAGAGTTTTATTATCAGGTTATATTTCTTCTTCGTACAAATACAGTCCAGTAGTAGTATTGTTTGATCTCTATGATTAATTTTTCAGCAATGCGATTGATTCACTTAAGCATCACAGTTGACTAGGTAATGGCATGGTAACGTCGGTGGTTCGGCGATAGAATGTTCGCCATGCATGCACATGGTCCGTAGTTCGACCCCCGACTGACGCGCTTCTATATCTTGCTTAGCTGATAGTAAGCCCGGTGAAGGTTGGACGTGTGAGGCTAGCATCCCCATCTCGTAAAAATGTGACACCAATGCGACTGAAACTTCAAAGTTCGAAATTTGTAGCAAAGTAATCAGATAAAATAATAAAAAGAGTTGTGAATCTTCACTGATCGGAGTGGCTGAGACATCTGTTACGTACTTCAAGCTGTGGAAAGTCTTCCCCACTTCATCCACTTATACTTATTCCTTATATACTATAGTCTGATTTCTCCATTGTCTAAAGTAAGCAATACTATGAAGATGTGTTTGGTGGAGAATTTGTTATCTCATATCATAGGCTGTCTACAGATGTTGCACAGTACACATAGCCTTTGATAAGTTGCAAGCTGTAACTAGGATATCGCCCGAACTCTCTTATTTGGAAAGGTCACAGATGCTTGTTGTACACATGGTTGGTTGAATTCAAGCTGTTGTCTTGTTAGAACTCAGTTACACGCAGAACAGATTTCTCATGTGCCAAGCTATGTGCTGCACTTATTATGTGAGGAAATAGGTGGAGCTGGATTCGAACCATGGACCCATTGACTGAAAGTTGAGTGCTTAAATGGACAAGTCACATATTTATAGATTGAAAAGAACAAGAAGTTCAGCAAAGATATTTTTTCGGCGATTTCATTCTCAACAGCTGTACAATCGCATTTATATAGATTACTTTACATGGATACAATTATTATTTGTTTAATTTCACATAGTAACGAAGGAGATAATAATTTTCAACTCGATATTAAAGTTTGAAGGTACGAATATAGATTACAAGGAGCTTAGAGACAAGATTGCATAGGATTAAAAAACAGTTACAACGTATGCAAAATTAATATTTGATAACTGGAGAAATAATTTTAAAGGCGGTCGGTCGGTTTTCGATATAGAACTTTGCACATATGTGCGGCAGTTCAAGTCGCCACACTCCATGTAGCACACAAAGCAAGAGAAGAAAGTAGAAGAAATGCATAATATAGTCAGTAAACAGAGGTGTGAGACAAAGGAATAGTAATAACGGAGAACCAAACAGTTTAATTGGAAATCATGAGTTACAAGGAGTGGATGCATCTGCGCCGAATAAAAGGTGATAATTATTTTCAACTTGATATGAATTACAAGAGGCTTAGAGACAAAAGTTACGCAGGGATAGAACGAATTACAGGTGTGAACAAAATGAGCATGGAAACAAATTGAAATCAAAATTTTCAACTTGAAATGTAAGTTAGGAGGTGTGAATATAGATTACAAGAGGCATAGAAACAAAAAATTACACAGGATTAGAATATAATTGTAAAATGGTTATTCTAAACGGATTACAAGTGTGATCAGGAGGAGCATGGAAACAAACTTAAAATAACTGATTTTATAACTGAAAAAATGGGATGAATTGAATGAAGACAAAGAGAGAAAATTACACACAGAGAACAAAACAAAAAAACTGAAGGATAAGGGAACATACCGAACTAGGTCCATGGTAGTTGTAAAGGCTGGACTAGTTTCTTTTGAACACATAGCTCCGGCTTTTCGATGCATATGGCGAGAGCTTCCGCAGTACAAAGAAGTCGGAAACACACTGCCTTTGGTAGATTTTTGTTTACTTTGTAAATGACTCTGAATGATGAGTCAGTTGAGATTCTGTGACAGGTATTGACGAGGTGTTCAGTTATTGCGCTTCTGATTGAACCAGTGCCTCCTCTTTGCAGCCATGCTGGATGATGTTCTCTAACACGTTTTGATAAGACCCGCATAGAACGACCTATGTACCTAGCTCCGCAAGAGCAGGTGAACTGATATATGCACACTGAAGTGGTCATATGCGGAAGTCTGTCCTTCCCGTTGCTCTGAAGTAGTGGGCGGCTAGAGAATATCACTCTTAGAGTTGCTGCCGGAAAAGTCTTCTTCAGGGAATTGGAGATTCTCCTTTTAAGGATATCTGCTGCTAGGTCTCCCCTGAATTCCAGATTCAAATAAAGTGTTTTCCTTTGCACTGAATATGTCTTGGCCTTGGTTTCATGTTCTTCTCCACGAAACGCGGTGGGTATCCATTTTGAACCATTTTGAGAAGTAGGAGCTCTTCTTCTAAACAGTCATCGCTACAAATTCTTCTGGTACGGTGAGCTAGCGAGATGATGAGAGCTCTTTTACGGCTGATAGGTATCCAACTGTAGAAGTTTGTCAGTTGGCCATTCCATGTTGGTTTTCTATGGATAGATCTTTTCAGAGTTCCGTCATCTCTTCTTGTCAATTCGACGTCCAGGAATGGAATCTTTGATTCATTTTCAACTTCAGTTAATATTACTGTATAACACTGTGTGATTTATCAAAATAAAATTTTATCCATAATGGAGTTCCATTGTAAATTTAATTGAAGAATGGCAGTTATTAAACTCCTGTAAGATACAATTTAAATCGGAATCATCCTGACAAACTATAAAGGTGTCACCGACATATCTTTTGTACAGCAGCAATTTGTCCATTGTTGATTTTAAGATGCCGTTTTCCAGGCTGGCCATGAAGCAGTCTGGCAAAAGTGGGCCAAGAGGAGAGCCCATCTATCTGTTGTTTGACTCATAAGATTTTCAAATTGGACATACGTGTGTAGTCTGTTACTGTATAGGTTTACGTCACAAAATTTCAACCCTAAAGATAGGGCTTCTAGTTGTAAGGTAGACAAGCTGACGGAGGAGTGATTGAAAACAAATTTATTAGGATCGATGTGGAACTTCCTCTGTACTTCGACGGATTTGAGGCTCCTGTTCAATTAAGATTTGACACTCTCAGCTCGTTTGCTTTACACCAAGGTAACATATTCATTAAACGATTCTCTTTCACTTGATGATAGTTCGGAAAGAGCAGAAGACCTCTGTGATATATTTCTCTGTAACTTAAATATACGCGAGCTAATAGAATCAATCAATATTTATGGGGGAAGGGTCACCGTTACAGTAATAGAGCTAGACTGCTTCTCGAAGTGCTGTCTATGCCTAGTGTCTCAACTGTATTTAATTGTTGTTATCCGACAAACAACAGATCCATAGCTAATGTTATAATGTCCCAAAGGAATTATACCATGTAGTCGTAAGATGACGTAAACTGATGGGTTAGGTAATTAATGGATATAACAATGGTTTGGGTTTGGGGCCTCACTGTCCGAGTTAATGTTTTCTTATCAACACTCAGTAGTCATTGACCTAAATACATCCCTGAACAGGCGTAAATACCATTTGCCCGGTTAATTAGATGGATGGTGATAGGGGCGGCCTAGCCAAAACACAGTGGTGTAGCAGGTTGAGGAGTCAGTCGTACTTGTAAATAAACAAAAGGTAGCTTTATCACAATAGATTGCCAAACAACCATCATGATTGCCTTTTGATCAAGGCCAGTAAAAAGATATGTAGACAACTCCCCTCTAAAAAAACTAACAGTGCCTAAACTACTGGATGTATCTTTAAAATTATTACTTGAAATGCTTCATCGCATTGGTATTTCTCTACGAAAACATGGTATACATGCTTATTAACTACAAACTGACAGTGTCAATGAATTCACTATGAACATGTATCGAAAAAATGTCACAGGTACGCGCAAACGTTCTAATAGGTTTGGGAACACTGATGTGTAGGTCACGAGATAACTGTCAAAATGTCATAACGATAGAATTTGCTCAATGTGATAGAGTAAGATTGCATCACAAAATAATTTTATCTGATAAAACACACTGATACAATAGTATTTACGATGCGATCACCAATATCTTGAATTGTTGCAGGTATCTTTACGGCAAGGCGGAAAAATATTGCTCTTAAAACATTGAATCCCAACTCAAAGGTATAGTAGAAATATGTGGATCACTCTCTCTGTGTGTTGGAAACAGAACATATCCTGATTTTCTGCATGCACACCAACTCAGTGGTACAGGGAATTAAGTTTACATTGGTTTTAGAAAGTGCACAAAGAGAATAGGCTATGTTAGATTGTAAAATAAAACGAACAGAAGAAGGTAAACTATATACTAGCGTTTATAAATACCCACCATACTCTAACAGAAATTTATACTTTAAGTCATCTGGCCTGTTAACTATAAAGGCGGGTTCAGTTATGTGTCTAATAAATGGAACAATCATTCTAAGCAGTGCATCAGAAAACCTAAATAATGAAATACAACAAGATGAAGAAGCGTTGGTGCTAACTGACTATCCCGTAAAATTCATTGAGAAGATCATAGATCTCACAAGAAAAGGAAAAATAGTATTGGAACTATTGACCACAACAAGAATAGGCAAGAATCCAAGGTGTATACAGTTTTGCCATATAAGGAAGCGATATCTGAAACCCTGAGTAGGTTTGTTTATAAAGCAGGAATTAACGTGGCATTTAAACTTACAAACTCACTGTGGGACAAGTGGTGCACGTGAAAGGGCCGCATAGACGCACGTAATTTACTCTACACAATACTTGGCAATAAGTGTGAGGTGAACTGCATAAGTCAGACAAGAAGGTCTAGGACAGCCAGGTTATCAAAACATAGGAATCTAGTTAGATATGGGACGATCGAGCCGAGGAAGTTGAATTTTGCAGTCCCGATGCATGCGCCAACCCAAAGTAGGGTGCGACAGAGCTATAGTTCTATGAAGTAATCTGTCTGTGTGGTTTCAACAAAGAACTTTGCACCGATATGCACTAGTTCAAGTCACCACACTTCACTCAGCACTCAAAGCCAGAGAAGAAGAAGAGGAAAGTAAAAAGAAACGCGAAATACAGAGAGTAAACAGAGATATGAGGCAAAAAGAATAGTAATA